TATATTCCGACTTAGCGCTCGAGAAAAGAGGACGCTCACGAGGCACGCATGCCGCGGGGTGTTATGGGTAGGGCGCCAGAGGGCGCTATTGTATATAACTCTTAGCGAAAATACCTGCCGGTAGGGGGAATATGCATAAGTAGTGTTGCTCTACAGGTAAGTATTCGTTCGTAGACCCCAACCACACTTCTGTGGGGGGGGATTTTATTTGATCGTAAACGTATTCTTCAGGTCGTTAAATTACGAAATCTCTATAGACAGTTGTTCTACAGACTGTTTGTATGCTATTCGTCAGTTTGTCAGATCCATACTGGGTTTATAGCACAAAACGTCGGTACTAGCGCAGAACGCAGAATTGGTCGTAAAGAGAAGCCAGACTCTACGAGCTTTATCACAGCCACATTATACCTGATGCTAGTTGGGTTTTAAAATTTGTGAAAACCAGTTTTTCAACATTGGGGGGAAAAAATTGCCCTTTTTGTCTTCATTCTAAAACATGTGCTAAAGTAATGAGTGGTTATGTCTGTATACAGGTATACAATGTGTGCTATGGAGTTAGATCAGGTCTGAATTAATTAATTGGCGGTTTTTTTTTTTCCAACCGTATAGAGTTGCAAGCATTCAACCGCTGATAACGCAACCGCTATAAAAGGGATATTTAGTGAAGTTGAAGGCCACCTGACATTGATGATCCAGGGTTGTGTGATCATAAAACAGAATATGGATACATATTGCCACTCAGGCATGAATATTATTCTCTGGAAATTAAGGCACTAAAAACATGAGCGGGACTTTATTATTATCAATAATTGAGCAATTATGAATGGCTAATAAAGCGGAACGTCTGTAGATCGACGGTTGTCTCAATGCTGGCATTTTACTTAAAGGGAAAATACAACATTTGCAAAGATCAAAAGATAAAACTACCAAATCATTTTGAAATACCTTGCTGGACTGTTAGTGAATGACAGTGTAAAGCATCCTGTAAAATCATGGTACCTGGTATACTGTCATTTTCAAGAAAAGTTGTAATTTTGTATCAATTTCCAACGCTGGTCGGCCGACCAGCGTTGGAAAAAAACTGTTTTTTTTCTTCAAATACTGGCCCCAATTGACCATCGCACTTGTTTGCAATCGATTACACACCTATGAACGGGTACAAGCCAGCTAGACTGGTTCCCTGACCTTACAATTCCCCAATGTATGTAAACTGTTCTGTTTCTTCTTATATGGAGTCAGGGAACCAGACTACAGGAAAATGATTGTTTTTCTCGGTTTTTATAGCATTTTCGAACCCAAAACCTCAAAAAAGTCAGTGTAACTATATTTGCTATATATTTCCAACCCCCCAATTCCATCCATTTCTGAAAATTACAGCAAAAGCAAATGATGTATATTCCCTTTAAAACCATTATCATGCCATAATTTCTTTCAGGAAAAAAAAGCAACAATGCAAATTGCTTTCTTTTAAGAGATACCGATATTATAGTACATGTAGATGCCTTTTTTGTTTTTAATCTGACATTGAAATTTGCAAAATATTTCTTACAAGGCCATATTTTAAGCTGTTTCGATAGGTTTTTCTGAAAATATTTCCGAGCAAATTTGGCAAGCGAAATAGAAAGCAGATAAAGTAATGTACTGGTATTGTGATAATTTGTGAAACATTGGCCTTTGTTTTTTTGGGTTTTTTTGGATTGGCAAATTTGTCTGTGTTGAACTATGAAAATTATTACCCCTGCTCATTGGGCCGATGAAAATATTCCCAAGACCATCTCAGCTCCCTGTCGGGAGTATACAGCTCATATGTTGCTATATGCGTGACCGCCCAAACTCACAACGTACCAAATCTGCCCTCACAGGATCCCATTTTACTCCTGGCCCAGGCTGGGGAGAAGGAATGACTGAAAAGTGTCTTGCCCAAGGACACAACCCCTCAGGCTGGACTCAAAGGATGGGGGAGGGGGATTTTCACCCCATTTGGCACAGACATCAAAGTACTGTTGTATACTTTCGGATTACTTTTCACGGTTCATTGCAAACATTATAGATGCTGTTTTGTAAAACATGTTTAATACATTCGAGTATGTTAATCAAAAGCTAGGTGTTTAGAAAGCTGAACATAAGGTATAAAAGATCCTACTGTGGAAAAGGGGAGGTTGACTCTCGGCCATGTTTAGGGGTGCTGTGTTCATTAGGGGGGAGGGGACACACACAAAAGAACATACATGCATCCCTTACAGTCCTGAATCCTCCAATTTTAATATGATTTTGCACACCCCCTTGGGGGTTCGGGTAAAAGGGAATGTACATCATTGGCTTTTGCTGTAATTTTCAGAAGTGAACTATTTGCGGGGTTACTATATAATAGATCAAATATTGTTACACTGACATGTTTGAAGTTTTGTGTTAGAAAAATGTTAGAAAAACCAAGAAAAACACAAATGGTGGAGTAGTCTGGTTCCCTGACTCCACTAAAGATAAAATGGATGAATTTATAGATGCCGGGAAATTGTAAGGTGAGGGAACCAGTCTAGCTGGCCTGCACCCCTTCATGAACATGTAACCAATAGTAAACAAAATTTGGACTGAAGAAATGGTGAATTTGGAGCAGTAGTTAAAAAATAGTTAGGTTTTTCCAACGGTGGTCGGCTGACCACCGTTGGAAATTTATACAAAATTACCATTTTCTTGAAAATGACTTCACACCAGGTGCCATAATTTTACAGGATGCTTTAGACTGTCATTTACCAACATCCTAGTAAGGTATTTCGTAAAAACTTGGTACATTTATTTTTCGATGTTTGCAAATGTTGTATATTCCCTTTAACATAGAGAATTCCACCAGAAAACTTCATTCCTACTTGGCATAGACTCGAGTCGTAAGTCCATGAATTGTCCAAAGATTTAGTAACAACAGTCAAAATATTCGCGCACGCGCGTGAGAGTAAGAAGCGTCATGTCATCAGTGCAGGTTTGAATGTTGCAGGAGCCGGTACGCCAATACACTTTTTTTTGGAACTATGAGCCAATTGCACGCAGGTGCTTGGAGTGCAGCTTTTCTGTACATTTTGGTCTCGTGTGTCTGCACACTTTCCATGCTTCTGTTTTGTGCTCGTAGTCTTAGGACTGAAATCTTTACTTTTAACAAGTGGTGAAGGATTTCGTTACTGCTCTTCCATTTGCGTAGACCTCTTCGTTTTGGATCGCGTCCAGGAGGCGGGTGAGCGGTTCATTTGCGATGCCGCAGCATCTCATACCCGATGGTAGTTTACTTTATGGTAGACCACAGAAGACCATGCCATCATCATCAATGTGACGTCTGCGTGTGCAGCGCACGGGCATTGCTCGGTGACTACATCACAACGTATTCATTGTTTTTTTCCATTGTTCGGCATTTTGAGTGGCTTGGTGTAGCTGATTCTAGCCTATACCAACCATCCTCAGGTCATCAGAAAGTTGGCGTTGGTAGATTCTCATAAGTGCCCCACTTCTACGGTTCTAGGTTGTTGTTGTTTTTTCCAAGAGCACTGAAAGTTGAACGTCAAGCCGGGTTGCGTATCCAATCAGTTGAGGCGCTGTTTGCGAAGGGTCGTTGATGCTGGTGTGACTTTACTTCGGCGATAAAGTTCAACATTGGTGATGCGCTCGGGGTTTTTGACATCGAGTGCGTAACGCAGCAAAGCTCGATGTGATGTGTCGATGGTTTTCTCGAGCATTTCCGTTAGGGTTCAGCTGGCCCCACTGTAGAAGAGCACCAACTCAATGCACATGGCAAAAAGTTTGACCTTCAGGTGAATGCTTGCTGAACAGGTCCATACTATCGAGTTTTTTCGGCATGTGGTAAGCTTGAATGTATAGGTTTGACTATACTGTTTGGAAATTTTTAACAAGACAAATTGCTTACGAGTAAAAACACTTCAATGTGTATACATGTGGCTTTTTATTTCAGAATTTTTTGGCTGTCAGAAACATTAGGTTCTAGTTTGAGAGATTATCTGCCATGATTAGCTTTTCAGAGCCTCCTGCCCCTCACAACCTACATACTGGACTTGACAGACCAATAATATGATTTGGCTGCACTGTTGTAGGGGTGTGCATTTACGGGTACCGGTAGTACAGGAACTGGGTACCCTACTGAAAAAAATACGGGTATACGCGGGAACCCGTTAAAGAAACCCAAGCCAAAAATTCAAATCTGGGAAGTTGCAGTTCAGATTGTTCATAAAGGTCCACATGATAATACTACCACATTGGTGCTGCAATACGGCTAGATTATAGCGTGTATATAGTGAGCTTGTTTAGGTATATGGTGAAAACTGAAACTTTCACAAGCATCATAAAACATGAAATTGGTTTTGGTTTTCCATGTATCCTGTTTTTTCATTTTGAAAATTTTCCCCATGACATTCGAAACCTTTCTTTTTCATTGACCGAGAAGTTACTGAGTAATTTGCAAAGTTGGTTACGGGTACTCGATTCCATAATCTGGAACCGGTTCCTGACATTAACGGTCAGGTAATCGGGTACCCGGTTCCGATGCACAGCCCTACTATTCTGCCAAGGTTGCTGGTGATGCCTATTGCCTAATCTCTTTAACAATTTTTTAAAGGAAACACACAGCATTGGGGGTAGTTTACAGCCTTACTCCCTTTTGTATGGTACTTGGTATTGGGCTTCGTGCACAAGAAAGGGAGAGTTGGGGGGGGACCACTGGGAGAGACAATCAAACACATTGCCGACAACGCCTGGCCGGGGCTCACCCAAAGATGCTATGGCTTTGTGCATATTCAGAGTAAGCATAAGTTGTACGTACCTTGCGCTATACCCGAACTAACCCATACAGTCCGTCTCATGCACTGAGCTCTCAAAAGTGGTAAAAAAGCACCCTCTTTTGTTTGCGCATGGAGCTCATATTAGTGAAACAGAATGGTACATGTATGTAGTCTGTAGTCCTGCTTTCTCTCGATCACCAGAGATTTTATATGACTCTCTCGCAGATACATGAAGTACCTGTACCCATACGAGTGCGAGAAGCGCCAGCTGAGTACCCCGTCAGAGCTGCAGGCCGCAATTGACGGCAACCGGCGCGAGGGTCGTAGGCAGGTCTATACCACCAGTGCCGTGGGGTTTGGGCTGTCCCCACACTCACCGACCTTACCCACGATGATACCTCACCCATCAGCCATTCCAGCCAACATCAGGGACTCACCAGAATTTGGTAAGGATTTTGGCTGGACTCTCGGGCCAACCAGTTGTCCTGTAACTGACTGAGTGTTTGACTGATTTGACTGCAGAGACTGTCTGTCTCCCCGAGTAATGATTGACTGACTGACTGACTGACTCAGTCACTGACTGATTGACTGACTGTCTCCCCGATGTACTCAGTCACTATGATTGACTGACCGTCTGACTGAATGAGTAACTTGACTGATTGACGTACTGCATGACTGAGTCCCTGTGTCACTGATTGACTGACTGACTGACTCCCCGAGTCACTGACTATCTGACTCCCCGAGAGACTGACTGAGTCACTGACTAATTGACTGACTCCCCGACTAAGTCAGAGTTACTGACTGATTGACTAACTCCCCGACTGAGTCACTGATTGATTGACTGACTGACTTTCTCCCCGACTGACTTTCTGACTTCGAGTTATTGATTATGAAGTCCTGTAAATAAACACTTTCTGCACCAGCTTGACTAGGCTAGCCTAGTCTTGTTTTCTTTGACTTTCGTCAAAGAGTTAAAAAGTCAAAGAGTTGTACGGATGCTAGCCCAAAATCTACTTTTGTTAGTCAACAAAATGTTCACACATGTATAAGAGAAATCCCCAGACTTAATTCTGAGTCCAATCTGTCCCTGAAACAAGTGCAAATAATCGAATGTGTATCTGTTTCTTTGTCTTTAACAGATGACGAGCGTGATGTTCGTGACTATCCGCCCCCAAGATCTTTCCTCCAACCGCGACTGGCCAAACACCCAATGAAGCACTCCCTCTACGACGAGCCAATCACACCGCCGGCAAAGCGCCCTCTGTTGACGGAGGAGCAGCATCATCGCTACTTGCTGCAACATCAGCAGCATCATATGATTCCTCCTGCCGCTCATATCAAGGTCACGAGTAATCATGGTAAGGCGATAAGGGTGCATCAACAGCATTGGGTGGGACTCGAACCCGTAACCTCCTGCTTACAAGTGTTGATGTCTCAACCACTGGATCACTGGTCAGCCAATCCTGTCTAGTTGGTTGAGTTGTTGAGACATCTGTACAAGTCAGCATTAGATTGTGGGTTCAATTCCCGCCCGAGCATGCTTGTGACTTTTCTGACAGGCTCAACTTCAGGCGTGCCATTATTCAGTCATTGAAAAGTCTCAGTTTTCCAGGCAGACATCACTAGATGTTTAAGATGTATTGTTTAAAGTTCCCAGATTCAAATTTTGAAAACATGCGAAGATGATCCAAGTTTGTGCTCATTTCGAATTACATTAGTTGTGTATTCTTTCTGCCATATGCGCGTGAACCAGTGCGCTCAAGCTGTGACAAAGCGGAGACAAAGCGCCCTCTACAGTCCATATCGGCTCACTGTCTCCAGCGAGCACCATTTTGAGCCAACATATCAGATCACCTAATTCAAAGATTCATAAAAAAGCTGTATCCTCTCTGAGTGATCCCCATTTGCTATTTTCCAGGTTTGCAGCATTGCTGATGTCGTTAGCATCTTGACTTTAGGCGTGATCCCTGGCTACATATGGCATTTAACGGGCTTATGGCTTCTGACTAGCACCCCTTGAAAAAAGACATTGATTAAATTGGGAACCGCCAACATATGGCTGGATAGCTCAGGTGCTTGCACCGGAATGGCATTCCAGAGGTTTGGATTGCTCAAGTGCTAGCAACGGAACGCCAATCCGGAGGTCGCAGGTCCGAACCCTGCTCCAGTCAGTTTCTTTGTTCAACTTTAAAAGGATTTAAGGAGTTGTTCTTCTTGTCATCCACAGCTCAGCGAGACACAGGTCTGCCTCTCTTTGAGCTGCGTGGAGATAACTCCCTCATCGTCAGCATCGAGCTCAACGGGGTGCTCTACCAGGGGGTCTTGTATCCCCGAGGCACCCCCCTTCATGTCATCACCAACAGGGCTACAGGGTCATCAGCCTGAGATACCCTCCTCACCCCCTCCACCCAGCCTAGTCTTGGGTCAAAGCTGGAATCAGATTATCTTATCCTGATGCACATGGCAAGCACAGCCAAGTGGCGATAGAGGGGCTATCAGTAAGATGAATCCAATCAAACCTCGGCGCTCGGAGTTGAGAAATTTTGAGCATACCTTACGTGCTTGTGTTAGCAGGATTAAATGAGCCTGAGATATTTCCTCGGGTTCGATTATTGAGGAATGCCCAAACTGGAGTTGATTCATCTTGTTAGCAACACCCTCTTACCGCTGCATTAGCATCTGGTGTGCAGACCAATAAATCGACTCCCATCGACCTCAGTGACAATTACGCGCACTTTCAAAAACTCCCATCGACCTCAGTGACAATTACGCGCACTTTCAAAAATTATTCAAAATACTCCCAACTCTCCAAGGTGTTTGAGACACCCATCAAATCATAGCTTATTTCATCATCTTTAATTTTCTGTTCAATTTTTGGATGGTTATCCAATGACTTTTGGGAGAAAATTCCATCCCAAGATTATCACCCCTAAAAGTAGGCCGGTGGCCCATCGCCATTTTGAAAAGTGATGCCTGCGGGTCATTACAAAATAGAGCCATTTTAGGGCCCAATTTCATCCAAATTTCACAGAAAAACAAGCTTGCAGTCCTGTGCACAGCTTCCACCTATTTTATAACAAACCTTTGAGTTCATGGCCTACAAAATGCTCTGATAGCAAAGAATTTGAGAGCATACAAATTGTTATTTGGCCGGCGTAGGCAATTTTGGGCCTAATTACTGGTCTGCACTCTCAGAGGGACTTGCTGCATTCAGGGAAGCACAAACTAAATCTTAGTCTTGAGCCAAGACTAGACGCAACCAAGACAAAGTCTTTCAAATGTTATTTATGCTGTCCTTGCAATAGCCCTTTTAAGATTTTTGTTTAGAAAATTAAGCATTTTGTCTAAATGCCTTATTGTATAATATTTTATTTCGGTTTGTAAAATAGAAAATTCCTTTAGAAAAAAAAATTAGAAAAAACCTTTAGCCACACCCCCCCCCCCAAAAGACTCCTTTTTGGAATCTGCAACATTTTTGTGGGTTTTATACATTTTTGTTTTTACGTTAATTTATATGCCTTGGGTCTGACGGATGACTAAAATCATGGCTAAAGTTCCATCATTATGTAGCTGAAAATCTGTGCAACTAGATTTTGTCCACCATTGTGACAAGACCACAAAATATAGAAACCCAGAAAACAGCTTTTTAAGGAATTCCATCCCCCCCCCCCAATTTTTGTTGATACTTTCGTCAGAATTGTCAATACTTTTGTTCAATCGTAATTTAATTCAAGGTCAACACATTTACTTTAACAGATTGTAATATTTTTTGTGTCAGCCGATTTTTTCCGGCAGTCCCCAAAACATCAAACACTTGCTAAAAATAAAGAATTAAAACAGTTGTGCAAGAAGTTATCATTTGTATTTCTGTGAGTTTATTTACTTGAACAAAGACATTGACAAATTTGGGAACCGCCAAGGTAGGGCTGAATAGCTCAGTTGGTAGAGCACCGGAATGGCAATCCGGAGGTCGCAGGTTCAAACCCAGCTCCAGTAAATTCCTTTGTTGAACTATGAAAACAGTTTTGAATTTGATAAAGATGATTTTGCATTGCTTTCAGTGTTGTCGATTTGATAAACACATTTTTAATATGCAATATTAACTTATAGAGGCTACTAATTATTAAATATGTAAACAATTAAACACGATTGTTGCTATTTCGTGAGATATTTATCTTATTAGATATTTAATGGAGATTTTTTTTTTCCGGTTGTAAATACATTGTTTTGTTATTGTTAGGTCATTAAATATATTAGAAAGCTGGGAATTTTTCAATGTGAAACGGTTTAAAAATAATGTAAGATTCATATTTTTACTGTGCTTGTGACAACTTTGACAAAAAAAAGTCAGTTTTTATTCTGACAATACAAATCTGTTTCAGGTAATAAGTAAGGTTATTTTTATGTGAATAGACTTTCATTATTCATTTTTATTTTAACTTATATAATTTCTCTAAAATTTCCATTGCTTCACTCATATTAATTATTAACGTTACTGCTTGTAGTATTTATAAAGAAAATAAAGACAATCATTGTTTTTTTTTTGCAGTTGGCAAAATTGAATTTACTTTTGACAATCAATGTTTTTTTTTATGGGACTTTTTCTGCAATTATTGTTTTTACATTCTTATGAAAAGATAATTTAGTAAGCCTAATTGGTGACTCGCATGACAATCGGTATTTTTTTTAGTTTGCTTTGTTTTTGCTGCATTTTGATAATCGTTTTTTAATTTCAGTATTCACACAATTTGTAAAAAACAAATTATTTAATTACGAAAGCTTAATTGTGAACTGAGAATAGATAAAGCATTTGGCAATAATAGTGGCTGGTTAAAGATAGTTCTCAATCCCTGATGTGCCTTTCATGTTTTCGAATATAACATTCAGAATATTTTCACAATTGCAGTCATTTGTAACTTCTCCAATAAAAAAACCTTTTAAATGTAATGTGCCTTTTAAGTCAAATTGATAAGATGTCATGTCGGTAAATAGCCCACATCATGACTGATACAACAATTTGTAAAAAAATAATAAATAATGACGGAGATGATGCGTGAATTACATTTTTTCCCATTTCCATGGAAACTATCACTGCCGTTAATTTGTTACTTGTATAACTTCGCAGACGTTGAAAATGTAATGACAACCTGCTACAAAACAAATTAAAAAACTCGCACTGCACTTGAAAAGCTATGTACATGTGTTAAACGCTATGAAACTACTCATGTCATAACGTTTCGTTTTTGGCAACTGCTGGCCTCAGATGTTGAAAAATTTTCACGACTGATGCACGAAAGACTTACAGGAAGAGAGATAAATATGAAGCTGTCATAAGTATTAATTTTAAGCAGTGTTAAATATATTTGTACACACAATGTATATACCCTTTCAATCTCGACATGCATTCCAGCTTGCACAAAACACTACTTTTTGGAGTTTCTTAGCTGTTGTGTACATTTCAAAACTCGTGTTTTTTGTATTCAATTTTGGGTTCATTTGTTGGCCTTGTGAAAATTATCTTGCAGCAAAAAAAAGTTTTATTCCTTTTTCAATTTCTTGTTCCACAGGAACTTAGTTACAGCAAAACTACAGGGTAAGTAGAGAAAACCGAAACCCAAATGTCGGGACCATTGTTTTTGTGAAATTCCGCATGTAGCACTTTCAAAATCTAGGATATGAAAGCCCAATTCATAAGCTTTCTTTTAGCACAAGAATCATTCATATCACTTATGTACTTTTTTAAGTTAAGGAGTTTTAAACACAACCACCGTTTTAAAGTTCTGTCCACGGATCACAAAAAAAGGTTTGCGTTCTTTCAGCGAAACGAAAACAATTCAGACACATCCTCATGTGATTTGCTTTCGTTTTGCTGAAAGAACACAGAACCTTTTTGTGATCCGTGGACAGAACCTTAAAACGGCGGTTGTGTTTAAAACTCCGTAACCTGAAATGTACACAAGTGATTTGAATGATTCTTGTACTAAAAGAAAACTTATGAATTGACCTTTCATATCCTAGATTTTGAAAGTGCTACATGCAGAACCTCACTAAAACAATGGTCCTGACATTTGGGTTTCGTTTTTTTTACTCACTCTGTAGTTGCAACGACCATTGTCCAGTGTTAGCCATAAGTGGACTAAGTAAATTTATCGAAATATGTTTTTCGATGGGATATACGAAAAGTTGATGCCTTGCCGAACGGCTGAATAGTAAATGGGCAATATCCTATCATCCTAATATTGTTTTGTAATGGACGTTCGTTCATTAACTTTTTTACATAAGAAATATTTATGTATTCAATATGTGAATTTATTTTTCTCTCGATCTATCAGTGCAGCTATGCGGTATCACATGGTATTATTTTTTTAAGTACATATTTTAGTCTTTTGATACGATATTACCCAATTTGTCGTTCGTATTTAATGGTTCGTTGATCCATCCTTGTGCAAATAATTATCGTTTATTCCTCGATAGATAGAATGTGAATTTTTATTACATTTACTTGGCTTTCGAATGATGCATCAAAGTTCGCTGTTATTTTGTTAAATTCAGTGTAAATATCTCCACTTTATTTTCTTGTTTACAAACTTAGTTTAGCTTCTGTGCTTCTATGAGACATCTTCTATCGTGACATAATAACAGAGCCTCTTCTATACTGTTTTGTTTTTTAGAAAGTTAACCAGAATCTGCTTTTATTTTGGTAGGTATTTTATTGTGACAATCGTGGTTATGTAAAAAAAAAAAAAAATCCACCGTGCTGACAAGTTTTACTAAAAAAAAGCAGGTATTATTGCAAATGTGCCTTCTGTAATTAGATATTATCTCCGATCGCTGCCTTACGTATAGTAAACTTTGAACTATGCAAATACCTTATTTGCATTATGCAAATACCTTATTTGCATGGTGCCTTATTTTAAGCTCTGGCAGGAGCTTCTACATATTACTTGGCGGTCGGTCGGTCAGTCTGTCCCGAAAATTGACCAAAAGTATGGCGATCCATATGTGCCATCGGCGTCGCATTTTTCAGCTCTGGCAGGGATCATTTTCATCGATTTCATGCAAGACTTTCATGCAAGACGTCTTGCAACACGGCCAGAGCTTATTGTGCACTCGCACTTGTTTTAACACAGAACCGATCGTGAGCTTATGTACTAACATGCATTCTTAATTGAAAAGAAAATCATCTTCATACCAAAATCCGAATTTTTAACAGTAAAATATTGTGGAAGGGAACAGGTGAAAGTATAGATGAACTTGTTTTTGTCAAATTATACGTCCTCACAAAATACACCACAAAATTGTATTTTTTGTATATGGTGGATATTGAGTTAAAAAAACCACCACGGTGGTATAATGTGCAAGATTAAACTTGTGTATCATAGATGCAGTTGTTTGCAGGTCTGGTAAATAGTAAAAAAGGGTGTGGTTTCAAAAGGAGCAACGCCCTACTCAATATCCCCCACCTTAGCAGGCCTCTGCAAATGAAACAGCTGGCCACCATTCTCTGTGTAAATACATGTATGTTGTGAGACTATATTCTGTGGCCCATCCCATGCTGTAAGCATTGTGTTGTCCCTCAGTATTGAGCGTTGCAATAAATGGTGTCTTTCTAACAAAGGTGAGCAGATGGTCAATGTGGAGTTTATCAGTGTTGTAGTCAAGGCCACAACCTCCGAGGCCGAGGCCAAGGCCGAGGCCACAACCTCCGAGGCCAAGGCCGAGGCCGAGGCCACAACCGCAAGGCCAAGGCCGAGGCCACCACCTCCGAGGCCAAGGCCGGCCGAGGCCGAGGCCAGCTATCAAAACACGTAATAAAATATAATCACTAAAACAAGGCTAAGATTATGTTGGAGTTTTAACATCTTTTTAGTTGAATTCACTGAGTTTTGGAGTGCCTGGCCTACAACTTTACAGCTTGCAATGGGTTTCCTCTTGTAGGGAGGATGAAAAACATCTCAAGTTTTGTATCACTGAAAGCAAATTACACAACAAAATCAATGGCGTTTGAATCAGGCTCATAGGCGTTTGCCCTTTGGAGATACAACAATTTAAATGGCCAAATTTTGAGTTTCTATTCTGTAAGATTTACTTTATTTACTTTTAGCATGTTTTATAAATCTTATTTTCAAAACCTATCAAAATGCTTAATATCATAGGAATCCTCATTAAATAAACAACAACTTGATTTTTCAATCAGGTTTTTACCACTCATAACCCAAAAGTTACGACCCCCCTCCCCCGACCTTCGCACTGTCCAGGCGCGCGCCTAGCAAACACCGCGATGCGACCAGACAATGCCAGACGGCCCGCCGTTACGCACGGGCAAATCCAATCCCGCTCCACACAACGGGATAGTGTCCACGCATTATCACTGTTAATACCGGGGTACCAGACAAAGTCTGGCAATGGCCAACCCCGCTCCAAACAACACGGGAACACGGAACATGCGTGCATGATATCACTCAGTTCATCAAAATGACCATGAATTCTCGGATCATCCGATTTGAATCCAATGGCTGCGAAGAATTTTAAGATCATGGCAAGAGGTGGGGAGTCCAGAGGTTTTGGCCGTATATCTGTAACCACGCAAAATTAGTCAATTTCAAACCGTGCTTATACAAGTAATAAGTATCAACATGGCTCTAAAAATACAAAAAGTATCCTGGTACCACGAGGAATACTGACTCCTATTATTAAAACATTCATTCAGAACTTTGTATTCATTTGGATGGAAAAACGAATTCTGAAATCGCGCTTTCCATATCGACCATTTGCGCCAAACATTACTGTGTGAGCCGGAACTTTCATTTAAATCACCGTGTAAAAATAAAATCTACTTGATAAATCGTAACTGTTTTTATCATATCTTTATGAAAAAAATGGTACGGACTAGTACACTCGATCGTACCCAGAAAGTTCGGACTTTTACTGAAACAGTGGCCTATAAAAAGAAATGATTAAGCTTGCCGCACCTTGCCGCAAATCATTTTAAAGGTCGGGGTACAGAGGCGAAACGAGACAATTTTGTACAACACTGCAACCAGACTAGTCTACTACCACATGTTATTGTAAGCAAATGGGATTGGTGCCAGACTTATGTAGTCTGGCACGCGGTAACAGTTATAACGCTTGCACGCACGTGGAAAGCTGAAGCGCAGGCTAGGCGAAGTTGCTACGTACGTGAGTACGTTCAATGCAACCATTTCCAGTTCATTCATGCGTACATTGTATATGCGTTCGTTTCACGGAACCCACTGCGGCAGAATCTCGAGGGTTTGATACGGTAAAAAATGAGAATTAATTAGAACTAGTGCAGGGCCAGTCGAAAATGTGCGTGTTCGGAAGGGGCAGTTGAGAACTACAGCTCGTGCAAACAACGCACATTATTCAATGGTGTGAACGCACACTCGCAAGTTAAACTCACAAAATGTCGTCACCCCCCTGGCACTTATATTTACCCCTGCTGGACAATATGGTATCGCCCTACAACTGTAGGGCGTAGTTGTATGGCAATACACTATTGTATTAGAGTTGCTCAGTCGACCGCCTACATACAGTGCAGTGATGGTTGCTCAGTTGAGTGCAAAATGCATGTGCCCGTGCATGCCACTCACGTATATGTACGTACGAATACATGGTGTGCAGTGCTATCGCCCTACAATGTGCCCGTCCTTTTTGCAGGGCCCGTCAAAAAAATGCACCTGTTCGTTAGGGGCAATTTCAAAATGCTCATGTCATGCAAACAACGCACACGATTCAATTGTGTTGTTTTCACAGGTTAAACTCGCACTCATAGGTTGAGCGCACTTTGTACATGTCGCCAGGCCATCCCCGGCACTGATATTCACCCATACGCCCGTGCAGCTACTCACCTACGTGAGTAAGGTTGCTCAATCCACCGCCTGCAATAGAGGTTCAATTGACTGCAAAATGCATGTGCCCGTGCAGTCATCACGTACGGAAACATATGGTATGCAGTGCTATTCACCCATACTGGACAATGGTATCGCCCTACAATGCACGTGCGCGTGCCCGTCCTTTTTGTATTGTTTGCGTCATATTGAGCACGCGCGCTTTAGCTTAAACGTGACGTAAACAATTGAAAAGAACGGCAGTAGGTGGTGTTATGTTCTAAGCTCCCACGTTTGCCTCCGAAAATACTGCTTTTTTGCAGCTTTTTCGAGAACCGCTCGTCCAAACCACTTCCAACTTGGCACTGCACATTCTGCAGGGCCAGTCGAAAATGTGCGTGTTCGGAAGGGGCAGTTGAGAACTGCAGCTCATGCAAATAACGCACATTATTCAATGGTGTGAACGCACACTCGCAAGTTAAACGCACAAAATGTCGTCACCCCCCGGCACTGATATTTACCCCTACTGGACAATATGGTATCGCCCTACAATTGTAGGGCGTAGTTGTAGGGCGATACCATAATATTGTAGTTGCTCAGTCGACCGCCTACATACAGTGCAGTGATGGTTGCTCAGTTGACTACAAAATGCATGTGCCCGTGCATGCCACTCACGTATACGTACGCACGAAGACATGGTGTGCAGTGCTATCGTCCTACAATGTGCCCGTCCTTTTTGCACTGTTTGCGTCAGCACGCGTGCTTTAGCTCGAACATGACGTAAACAATTGAAAAGAACCCCATGATGTGCCCGTCCTTTTTTTCATTGTTGCGTCATATTAAGCACGCGCGCTCTTGCTCAAACATGACGTAAACAATTGAAAAGAACAGCAGTGCGCGCCGGGTTCTAGGCTATATTCTGGCGCGCTAGGCTTCAGAAAATACTGCTTTTTTGCAGCTTTTTCGAGAACCGCTCGTCCAAACCACTTCAAACTCGACACTGCACATTCTGCTATCCGGAGCAGTACACCCGCCGATTTTCAACTCCATACGGTGCCCGGTTCTGGAGATAATCGGCGGACAGACAGACAGACAGACAGACGGACAGACAGACAGAGATTCCTTGAATTGTAGTATAGATAGAAAACACATCAAAATGGGCGGCCTCGAGCCGGCCTCGACCGATTCGCCGAGGCCGGAAGGCTCCGAGGCCGGAAGGCTCCGAGGCCGAGGCCAAGGCCGAGGCCTTGCACCTCCGAGGCCAAGGCCGAGGCCAAGGCCATGAAAATCGGCCTCGAGGCCGGCCTCGAGGCCGAGGCCGGCCTCGAGACCTCCAACACTGGAGTTTATTTTGGTTCGTGGAGTTTGATATGAAAAGAGTGATTTGCGGTTTAAAACAGCGATTGGCGGTTTTCGTGTAAAACAAAAAAAAAATTGGTTCTCAAGTTGAGCCAATAGACTCCTAGCCTTTATTCAAGTCGCATATTTTCTTTTTTCGGAACCGTTACTTCAAACGCAATACTTTCATTGCGCATCGTCATTTCCAACAGTGAATAAGTTCGCGCGTTTAGAGTTTAACCTGGATAGCTTTGTCTCAGAATCCGGTGGCTGTATTCTCTGCTATGCTGGGGATGTTAGTTGTTGGAAGGCCAATTTGTGGAACGCGGCGGTTTTGACGTAACTGACTTCATGTGACTTAGATTTTTGCCTTTTTTTAGAATCTAAATTCAAATACATATGTACAATGTATGTGGACTTCCCCTCCCTTTTCGTAACGTATTAATCCAGAAGAGATTTTCAGGTAGCATTTATCTACGGATCCTCTACACAGGAGAGGACCCGTGATTTATCACAGGACTTAAAGTACTTTGTAAAATACACAATTGTCACCAAATTCAGAGTTAACTTATCATTGACTCAAATTGAGTTGACCATTTATTCGCATTTGATTTTTTTGGTGTAAAAATATCTTCAAATTTATAGGCCTTACTTTAAAGTTACGTCCAACGATTTGTACCGTAATACCAAAATATTTTAACAGAACTTTACAATATCCTTTAAAATGCAATCTTTCTTTAAAATTCAATCGAGTAAGACTTACAATTTAAATGACACGTATTTTAAGTTAGTTTGTAGACTTTCCTTCAGAAAGACTACGAATTTGTGGAGGTTCAGTTTAAAAACAAACAAACAAACAAACACCCCATACAAACAAACCAACAAACAACACATTATGCAAAGTTTTTTACCAAACATCTGAAACACAGCTTGGTGTTAGATACTGAATTAATGCAATATCTGTAACCATCATTCGGTCAACCCAACACTTTTTATCTTTCTGTTGGTGTCTGAAATGTCTGCACGTATTCACCTTATTTTTGTGTCGCAAATACAGATAACAATATCTCAGAGGAAACATAATTATCTCAAATATAGAAAAAAGGAATAATTTTATTTTACTGTTCCATCGTTTTAAGAATTATCACACATTTTGCATTATATATTTTTCACACTGTCCTAATCTTGAATTACTGTTTTCGCTATAAAATATATACACAAATTAATAGTTAAATTAGAACAAGTAATGCTGCTTATCAGATGTACATGCACGTCTGTTATTTTTCATTAATTAAATTTGTGGCTAACTAGGGATACGGTTTAGCCGGATATAGCCATTTTGATGAAAACACGTACGCCCGACCTTAATCAATATGGCGGATGGACATGCACATTGGTGTGAAAACTCATGGGAAGTTTTGTATTGTGACACTTTGCATTGAATTAATGAGTTTGTTGCGTAGTAAAATGTCACAATGAAATGGTCGTTGAAATGAAATAGCTAGGATATTCTACCATGCATGCTAGCTCCTTGGAATAACTAGAGGTGACGTCACATTTGTTTACATCCGTGGCGCCCTCTGTCGGCAGTTATGACACCTGCCGGGCAAGAAAACAATACGTTTACATAAGATATTTCAAGCTTTAAGATAAAATTACAATGACTACTACGAAAGCAATGCAGAAATATGATTTCACGATTGCACTTAGTTATTGGACAAGTAAATGTGGCTTTTTTTTAAACCATTCAACGGCTTTTTTTTTGAAAATGAAATAAACACTTTTCAACTGATTAAAATCGACAGATGGCGCTGTTTATAGTCAACAGATGGCGCTGTTGATGGTAGAGGGTGCTTTTTTCAGACTGTAACGGGAGACGTGGACGTGAGTTTACCAGCGGTCCCCTTCTTGCCGTCTGGGTCCTCAACGTTGCTCATGAGTTGGATCATGTTTTGCATGGATTTCTCGATGCCGCCCACTCGCTCCGTCAGGCGCCGGATGGATTCCTTGTACTTTAAATCACGCTGCTGCTGCTCCTCTTGAAAGTTGGAGTACGTGTCCACCCTGGAGACGAATCGTCAAGAATTTGTCAGAATTTGCTTTTCATTCAGATTGGTTAGAAATGGTCAATTTTTCATACATAAGTGATACAACTACTGCAAGTTAAACTTGCACGACCACCCCCCCCCCCCCCCCCCGGCATGCTGGCAGTATCTATACAGTCAGAAGCACACTTTTCAGTTGACCCTAACAAAAATCAACAATGACCTCATTTGACCCCTAGATGACCTTTGACCTCAAATGTCTCAGGTCACCTGAAGTTCCCTTACCCAAAGATTATTGCCACTAAGTTTGGTTGAGAGTGAAGTCTGACTTTTCATAGGACAGCACTTTTCAGTTTACCTAATTAACCAAACACAATGACCTCATTTGACCCTTAGATGACTTTTGTCCTCAAAAGTCTCAAGTCATCTTACGTTCCCTACCCAAAGATTGTTGTCACCAAGTTTGGTTGAGAGTGGAGTCTGACTTTTCATATAACAGCACTAAACAGTTGGAACACGCGGACACGCTGAAGGACACTATCGCATGCAAGATCCCCCTTTCTTGGCTTAAAAACCTGGGGATAAAAATGTGAGGACTGCTTAGTCCTTGGGGTGTGACGTAACAAGTCACGTGTACTTGCTCACCTCTCTGATATCCTTTGTATTGTGCCGTTCACCGATAGCTGTTTCTCCAGAGCCTTCTGTCTCAAGTAGTTCTCGGTGCACTCTTCTTCGAAGTTATACAGCAGTTGCATCGACGGCTCATCCAAAAGCTCCTCTGATACAAAACAAAAATCGTGAATGATTTTTGGTCTTCAAATCAAGCTTTGGAGCTCTGAGTCAAGCGGATAGAAAAGCCGTCCGACACACAGATTTGACACATGAAATGTCCAAACTACCATATATCGGAGACAAAATATGCATTTGCAATTATGCTCAACAAGTAGGTGAAAATTGCTGTCACAAGTGGGCTTTTTGCACTACCCTGTATGTTAAATTGATGAGTAGATCATTTAATAACCTACTCATTTCTGGCGTGCCTAAAGTGTGTCCACAACACGAGTACATGGCTCTCCTGATGACCATGATGACGTGAATGACGATGGTGAACGGCGGAGGCAGGAAGGGTTTCTCGCTATACTCCAAGATCAGACGGTAACGCTGGAACTTCCAAATCTCGCTGGCGTTGTCGTGAACTCGCGTGAACGTGTTACTGACAGGAAGAAAAAAAATAGTGTCGGGGATTACTTTCAAGCGGATTTGGGGTTTTTCTTGGTTGAAGAAAGGATATCTATAGCTTTGTGGTAAACTGCACGGTTTGGATGCTGTCCTTTAACGCACCGTTTTTACGGTTACAGTTGGGGGTAGGATTAGGGTCAGGGCTATGGATACGGTTAGGGTAAGGGTTGGGGTTAGGTTCAGCGTTAGGGCCAGACTAAGGGTCAGGGATCTAATTAAGTGTCCATAAACAAATTTTTAAGATGATTTATATAACTTTTAGCAACTGAAGTTAATCATTCTGTTGAGAAGAATACACTGGTTTCTTTTTAGTCGTAATATAATTATTTGCTCTTTTTGGAGGCAAATTAACTGTCAACTTAACCCTGGCTTGGTGCAGCAACCTGTAGTAAACCATCACCACACAATAATTTTATTAAAACGCGCGATCAATTTTTATCGGAATGTTCACAAACCCGGTAGCATCTCCGCAGATGAACGCACCTAAGCGCACGCGCGCGTCGGCAAAGGCGATTGAGAGTGTCCTCCAATCGCTCTCTAACGTCAACGTTGAGGGCGTACTCGTGCACGGAGTCCATACTCACTTGAAAATGGCGATGAGCAAATTCAAGAGCAGCACGTTGGAGATCATCAGGTACACACTCATGATCCCAGTCACGATCATTTTATCCAGGTCACCGGCTTCAGCTTGTGGACTAGCAGTCACATCTGTTTAATAACATCCAGACACAAACAACCTTGACATTAGTCAGTTCAATGCAACGTTAAAAGGTATACAGTCCATCATTTGCAGCTATCCAACCTACTAATCTAAGTAGGTGACGAAATTATTGTTGAAAATCATACGTAGTGGGACTAAACTCCCTGTGAAATTATTGTTTCTGGCAAGCTGTCATTTTGAAGAAAAAAAAAACAATGAAAGAAGGCCATTTTCAACGATGCGTCTAAAGACGCATTCTTGGAGATTTCCGTTAGTAGTTCGTGTTTTATTCGGCGAAGCCGTGAATATGGGTGTGCGCAAACGTTGACACGACGCACACACGTACGTACGTACGCGTACGTACGCGCGCGCGGTTGCTATTATCGGTCCAGTGCGTGACATCGCATAGCTGCAATGGGCTGAATGAGAACGTCTCCTGGACGTTGAATTTACCTACCGCGGTAGAATCGCGTAGGTGTAGCTTGTGGAATATTGTCCATGATATATAAATGGACGCGAAACGCGCAAATTTTGAGACAAACAAATATTAACGTCTTGGATTATACAGCATTCACTGAGCTAAACCTTCATCAGGTTAGTTGTTAAGCAACCTTCTTTAGATTTAGAGCACTTTTAGTGCTTTAAACGAACATAATGTACAAATTACAAATGATGCACTCTTCCTTTAAAACCGCCTTATGTGTACAGAGAGAGCAATAAGAATGCACATCAATGGAATTGAATTTCAGGAGTTCTTTGTTTTGTACCTTGAGTGAAATCAAACTATTACTATAGAGAAGGTAGCAGTTTCAAGACTTACTAAAATTAAAATTATCACTTTTAATTTTAGTTTTCAAAGTGCTATCTTCTCTATTTAACCATATCTAACAGACTAACACACGGCTGTATACATCTTTGAAATTAAACTGTAATTATTGCCGTAATTGATCAGCATTTCAAGCCTGATGAATTTTGTCGTCAATTTATTGAATTCGGCTGAATGGAAGCTAATGATGAACAATGCAGCTGCTTCTATAATTGCACCAAATTACCAGAGAAGCAATTTCTGACTGGCAAAATCATTAATTTTGTAATGTTACCCGACATTGCCGGCGATATAATTCATCGTATTATCATCACTGTTTGGATATTGAATGGAAACAGACGTCACAGTCTGTCCAATTCAAACTCAATATGCCATGGCAGAGATATGTCAGTGAGTCTACAGGGTGAGTAAAAAAACGAAACCCAAATGTCGGGACTATTGTTTTATTGAAGTTCTGCATGTAGCACTTTCAAAATCTAGGGCATAAAAGCCCAATTCATAAGCTTTCTTTTAGTACAAGAATCATTCAAATCGCTTATGTTCTTCTCAAGTTACGGAATTTTAAACACAACCACCGTTTAAAAGTTCTTTCCACGGATTAAAAAAAAAAGTGTGCGTTCTTTCAGCAAAACGAAAAAAATTCACACACATCCCTGTGTGGTTTGTTTTTGTTTTGCTGAAAGAACACTGAATTTTTTTGTGATCCGTGGACAGACACCTTAAAACGGTGGTTGTGTTTAAAATTCCGTAACTTGAAAAGTACATGTGTAATTTGAATGATTCTTGTACTAAAAGAAAGCATATGGATGGGGCTTTAATATCCTAGATCGCCTTTGCCGACACGCCAGGACGAGTATTCGAGTAGATGAAAACCACGAGTAGAACAATGAGTAGCAAACACTACTCGCGAGTACTCGAGCACTCGGGATACTCGCCCGGCACTTCCAAACTGCCCTTTGGAAGAGCATAAGCACTGATGGTTAAAGGACCCGTACAATGTATTTTTCTTAATGCAATCCTTGAACATGTACCTTTGTCCATATTTTCATTTAACATTTTGTAATTTTGATTTCTATAATGTTTTTTTTATGCTAACGGTTTCCATATTCATGAACAAAAGTGTGATGTCATTTTGGGCACTGAGAAGGCTCATGGCTACAGCTATTTCAGCAGCACAAGTTGCTGGATATTTTGCTGTCGTAAATCTTCTTTTCTTTAGTGATGATTCGTTAATTGTTTCAGTACATGAAGCAAATTTTGGGTTCACAATTGGAACAGAAAACCAGGTTCAACTCTATAACAGAGTCTTCCTAAAATGACATCACAGCAACAGCGCCCTCATTTGCCACTTTAGAAAAATTCATCTTATGGACCATTTCACAAGTTTAGAAAATAGTTGTTTTACTGTATTCATCTTGGAAGATATCGAGCGTATCAGGGAACAGCTCCCCGTACACTTGCCAGTACGGTACGAGGAAGATATCTCCCAGGATATGCCATCGCCACTCCGAGCGGGGGAAGAGAATCGCCTGTCGGGCCACGCCGTAGCTGACGAGGAAGACGAGCAGGATCAGCATGAAGTACACCAGGTCACGAATCTACGGGAAGAAATATGACGGGGGAAATTCAGAAACTTACTATGAGCAAAACACAGGAACAACAGCTGGGTTTATAGACAGTGAACCCTCCTATGCAAACATACATTATGTGCCAAGTTGTCCTTGCAGTCAAAATCAATAAAGTAACTGTTTTCAATCCGTAGGAATTCCCAGCCCACGTAAAGCAGGACTTGACTGCCTTGGATGGATTAAGTGACTTGATGCAGCTATGCTTTGACTCCGGGTGAGTGATCAAACAGCTGTGACCACAACTTGCTTGCTTTGTTGACCCTGTTTCGCTAGACTCAGTGCTTGCTTGACATGATCTGACTGCTGGTGACTAGCTTTCGTTAAAAGTATAGCAGGGGAAGTGGACGTGAATTGTGACTGTCGGTAACTGCTTATAGCGTCATGCACACTTTGTTTCCTTTCGGCCTTTCCACGATATCAATGCCATAAAGATTTTACATTCGGCAATTTTCTTGGTTGAAAATTTATCAGTGCGAGTTATTTTCACTGCAATGCAGTCATTACAAAGGGGGTAAGGGAATTCACTTGTGACATCATTTTCACGAACTGAGCCAAGCTTCGATTTCCAGTACCAAAGAATAACTTTGGCAATCTCTGTGGTGAACCGGCAGACAATTGACCTATCACCGTTTGCGAGTTATAGCCACGCCCCTTAGACAATCCTATGGAAGTCTATACCTTAAGTTTTGTTTGTCTCAGATTTTGCCATTTTGTATATCAATGTAATTGGACAACATTTCACAAGCTGCGTTGACGCGATTCTACCGCGATTGGTTAATCGACGTTTCGATTACCGCGCTGCGACGGTTTTCAGGAGTGAACAGGAACTTCACGCACCATGTTACCGATCATGTTGACGTAGGGACCCATCACGTTGTTGACACTGCACACGTCTAGCAGTCGGATGTACCATACCATGACATCAAGGCAAAAGAACATCCTAGCTAGCTGGTGGTGGGCTGCGGCCGAATCCGCGTCAACCATGTACACCGAGTAGAGACGGAAGATGAAGCCTGGGATGTAGAGCAAAATGCCCACCAGATCCCAGATGTTCCACTTGTCCGAGGCCCACATCTTGATCTTCTGCCAGAGAGTCAGCCGGCCGTGTTCGCCCATCATGAGAACCTTGTAAAAGAGAAAGAGAAATTGTCAGTGTCAATAATGTCGTCTTGTCCACCTCTCGTTGTCTCTCCATAATGACAAGTTTGAATCGTGATGTCGCGATCATGATGTCAATGCCATTCTATAACTGTCGCAATTCCTGCATTTGTAAATGTCAATTTCGTTGTCGTCTTACCTACCTGACGCAGTTCCTCCATGTTGAAGGGTGAATATCGTACAAGACTTTGCCCATACTGGGATCGTAATATCACTGTCACCAAATGTCCCTGTCGTCTCACCTGTCACAGTCTCTCAATATAAAACATACCGTGCAAATCACAGCCATTGCCGCGATCGTAGAGTCCCCGATCGTCAGTGTCAGATGTCACTGTCGTGTTGCCCACCTATCGCAGTTTCTCCATGACCAGTGAGAACACCATGTCGTGATAATGATGTCACCAATTGCCAATGTCAGATGTCCTTGTCGTCTTACACCCACCTGTCGCAGTTCCTCCATGGCCAGCGTGAAAATTGTGCAAGTCACAGCCCACTCCACGACCATGATGTCACCTTGCAAATCCACCAGTACGACGAAGCTGAACATCATCAGGAATAGTATGTAAAACACCTACAAGAAATTTCAGGTAAAAAATGTCACAGCCAATATAAGGAGCAACTAGTGACGAATATGACTTGTGACAAGTAATGTTTTATACGGAAGAGGGAGTTTGGCGCTGTGGTAACTTTCCTTCCCTTCCACCGCAACTCAGGAAAATCACCGCTAACTGTTCCAGACAAATTCATTCCAGTCAACCCAACCGACAATACCAACGGACCAGTAACCAGAAGCCGTGGACTACACCTAAATCATCAAACTCCCAGCCAGAACAGAGATCTACACACAATAGTTTCTAACCCCGGACCATCTGTCAATGGAAGCTCCTGCAATCTATTATCTTCACATCATCTACTTCTGTCAAGCCCTTCAATCCAATCTTTGGAGCTACACAAACGTACCCACAGCTGTACATGGGTAGGCCATAGCTGGACGTTCCATCATTTCAAGCAACTATAGTCCCCAAGTTTTTCCAGTCACTGTTGGATTTTGCACTCTCATTGTGATGTGTTGGGAGGTGTTGACATGTCTTGGAAGTCTGGACGAAGATACCACTCGGTACTGTCAAGTATTAATTTAGCTGTAGACCTCTGTGGCCCGTGTTCGAACCCGACCAAGGCTGACGTCGGGATTTGGGTTTCCAGTCCCTACCTGACCCACTGTGGGTTTTCCCTAGAATATCGTCCCTGTGTTTTTCTCCCACCGCTGAAACTCAATAATTCTTCCTTGTCTTTTCTCTCCACGTTTCTTCAGGCCACCGAGCTACAGTGCTTGTACCCTTCCCAATAAATCCTTGTTTTTATTACCAGAAAGAATTAAAGATTAATCAAGAATGGAATAGAGTATTGTCTAGAAAAGAAGCTTCGCCCTCTACCCATAAATAGTCTTTAAAATGCCCCCAACGTCTCAGAGGAGCCAACCTACCGCATTGATCCAGAACTTGAGAATGGGTGCCACGAGTAGCATTCTTGCCTTCTCCAGCAGCGGCGCTTCGCTAGGGTCATCGACCGTGGGTCCGTAGGTGCAGTACGGCAGTCGTCGCTTGAAGGTAGGCCCGCGGATCCCGAAACCCAGGGAGCCGACACTGTGGATGCTGGGTTTCCTATCGCCGTTCTGATCAGTTGATACAAAAAAACCTCAGCTAATTCTTCTATTCACTTCTGATTGAAATGTAAAATAATAGAAAGAGGGCAAATGCGTCCCTCGGAAAGGTCGGAATGACGTTTTCTGACTATGGCGTTTGTACCAGGAAAGCGGATTGATTTTCGATGTCTGCCATTGCCATTTTCCCAAAAAATCTTTGCGAAAAGTTAATCTATAATTTGCATGTTGGTGAGTGGATTGCATGTGATTTCCACAACGAGTCATGCGACAGTGTTGAGTGGATTATTTGTGATTTCTACAACGAATCATGCGACAGTCTTGCTTCTCATTTTAGAATATTCATCTTATCTCGCATTTCTGAATGTGCGAGTGCAGATTGAAGTTGAAATCCAAGGTTTTTTTGTTTCAATGTATTGTTTACAATGGCCACTTTTTTAAAAGACTCTGTGTGAATTTTTTAATTCTCAATGAATATCTCCAGTGCTTATCTTACAGCAGTATTCTGCATTTCATATTCAGACGTGGCGCCGTCTCTCCAGCGACCGCTGCTTCTGTTAGCGGCTCGGATGGACATGCTCCGCAGTATTTCATCGGTAGAGTTGGAGATCGTGGCCGGGAACAGCCATTCTGTTAACTCCTGAAATGACAGAAAGAAAGGGTTCCCAAAATTCAACTTCCTACAGTCACAAGCTACATCATTACAACTTCTATTAACAATCTGCGAAATTGTAACGAGTTCAGAGTCAGTTTCATACACTTTCGTAACATTTTCTAAATCACAAGCTACAAGATCATAACAGTTTTCTAAGTCGCAAGCTACAAGAAGGTAACAACAATTGAGTCATATCCTATACAAGCTCAGAACAGCTTCTTAGCTACACGCTACAAGATTCTAATAACGAGTCACAATTTCTCCTGACGACGGGCAGAGCATACTGTTCAAAACGTTGAGTCCCTCCGGTTCTTTTCAGAACCACACATACTCACAAACGAGATTTATTCACATGGTGCTACCGCAAACTTATCTTGTCTTAGAGTCACAATCTACAAGATCGCAAAAGTGTCTGAGATAACTACAAGATTGGTACGATCTCTGAGTTACAAGGTACCACATCTCCACAACTTCTAAGTCAAACCCCACAAGATCGTAGCAACTTCCGTGGCACAGTCTACAAGATCGTCACGCATTCTGTGTCACAAGCTACCAGATCGTAACAACTTCTGAGTCTACAAGATCGTAACAAAAGGCCACAACCTACCTTCATGCTGGATATCTTACTGAACACCCCGTACCACTGGTCGTTCAGAAGGAACTGTATGCTAGGATGAGCGATGAATCTTGAATGGTTGAAAGCCGCGGCTAGTGACAGGCAAGTCTGCTCGCTCCAGTTGTCCAGCTGTGCACAGAGGAGCAAGCGAGTGAAGCTGGCGTCTTCCTCAAAGCACTGGCCCAGAAGCTCCACGGCCAGGTTTTCGTACCACCTGAAAGATGGACACCAATATCGTCAGCACACTTGACACAGAAGTCCGTATCTTACACCAGTTTTAAACTGTCGTTCAAGAGTCGCGCCGAATCCGACGCAGGTCGAACAAAGTAGATTTTGGTTTCAGACAGGCAAACGTCATTGTACAGGGTGATTAAAAGATACTGCAATAATGTAAAGGAGCCGTCCTTTAAATCGAAGTTTTAAACGTTTTAAACCTTGTAAGAATGACATATTCGTTATTAACATTGTGTGAAAAAAATGAACTTATTTGCATTTACCGTTTTTCTTTTGTGAATCCTTTTAAAGTGGTGCCCGAGTTACGTTTTTGTCCATGAGGCATCAGAATTTTGCATAAGAGCGGAAACGGTACAATAAAGACATCAATAACACAGGTTTAAAATCGATTGAACCTTAGCCCAAGCTGTATTTTTCTGTTTCATGTGATGCAAAGTTTCCCTCGGCTATACTGTTTCCTTCATTGTTCGGACAATTACAGCTCTGCCCTCTACTTGGCGACCCTGCAAGGCAATGCATGTCTCAGCTCTAGACCTCATGGAAAGAACAGCTCTGGGGGACACATTTTGTGCTCATGCGATTTTGAGACGACTCGTGAACAAAACGCAAATTGGGTACCATAGTAAAAAGGTTCACAAAAGACAAACCGTAAATGCGATTTAATTCATTTTTTTCACACAAGGTTACATAAAAAACATGTAATTCATACAAGGTTTCAACAGTTCAAAACTTCAACTTGGTTTTGAAAAAAAGATGGCTACTTTGCATTATTGCAGTTTTTGGCTCACCCTGTATTATGTTTCCATTGAATAGATCCTGAAGTCTTTCCAAGTGACTGCAACGGTTGATCTATCGACATAGGTGCACTTGTTTCAAACACCGTAGTTTTCATGAAGTTAATTTAGATCTTCCGAAAAATGTGTTCCTCCACGACTCCTGAACATCAGTCTGAAACTGGTGCCAGACGTTTGTAGTGAGGTTTGAGCACGAGGAACGTCGACCTGAATGTAACTTGTACCATTTGGGCTAACGGGAGTTCTCAAAGAATGTTTGAAGTCGCTGATGGATAGAAGATCAGGCTTCAAGCTTCGTCCATGCCACTCACGAGAGCTCGCATGGCGCGAAGTATTTCAGTTATTCTGATCGGGCATAAGTAAACCCGTAGCGTCTTCGCATGACGTGGGCGTCGATCAGGCGCCGTTGGCATTGGCAATGCCTTGATCAAATGTCCCTTCTAGTGGTCTCTCCCAACTTTCTGTTGGTAACCGTTAAAGGACTACTGGTGCACCGAGCACATACCCACCTCTTTTCCTCGGCCAGTCTGTCAGCGGCGTCCGTGTTGTACTTCCATTTAGCCACCTCGGACATCCGATAGCACAGCCTTGCCCCGATCAGCGCCTTGGCCAGCGTCTCGCGACCCCGCTGCCACATCAGGCGAGCGATCTGATACTTCTTGGTCAGCAGAGCCCATAAGAAGAGATCGTTGAACGGGAAGCAATCGAAGTCACTGGACCCACAGCTGTCGGATTCGTCTGTCTGTAGGCCAACCAAAAAACAAGAACTATGATTTGCACACGTTGGTGGTGCACAGGCGTTCTACGTAGTGTTTCAAACGCACAAAATTAATTCCTGAAAAGCCGCTGTATACAGAAAGAATGAGGAATAAGAATTACAAGTACCATGACACAATGAACATTTTGGAGAGGAAAAGATTGTTGGCACGTACCGAATCGAAGGTGGAGCCACGCTCGCTCACCTGTCACGCGCGCTCTTGAAGTCGAGGCGCACGCATTTCGGCAACCCTATTGGTCGACGGCGCACTGAGTACGCGCGTGCATGCCACCTGCGCGCGACCGTCGTTCCATCTGTTACTAATAATGTGCGTGGCTTGTATTAGTCTATACCTCAGCTCCGCGGAAGCATCTCATGAACGTCCCGCAGGTCCCACATCTCTGGTTACTCTCCGACGAATTGGCGGTGTAGTTACAGGCGAATCCTTTACTGAGCAGATACTGGATCACCCGGCCAATGTCTTGCAGTTTGAAGTGGCGACGGCCGTTGCGAATCTGGTAGAACGCCAAAAGTGTAAATAAGCCTGTAAGTTAGAACTTTTCACTTAAAAAAACCCAAATTGATAAGCCTATAGAACTAGATTTTATGGAGTATATTTTTCTAAATAATACCGTACCTTTGGCGGCATAAGGTTTGCTTGTTGGTAGAGTATACAAAGCGTCGGGAATGGCTCTGATTCGTCCTGGGAAAAAAAGCATTTCAAAGATGAAACATAAAGTTGTAAAATATGAGGATTTACAATTCTGTTATTTTTTGTTGTTTTTACTGTAATGTTAGAGAATTAGTTAATTATCTTTTTCTGTTCTATTTATCTTCTTCTCATTTTTTGACATTTTTGTTCATGAAACAAACACATACGAGTTGTTTTCTCACATTCTTGTTAATTTACAAAACTTATTGATACTCATGCACCAATTAAATCTACAAGATAAACAAATTACCATATTGTCGATGGAACTGTAGAGTTGTTCCAGTCGTTTCGTTGTCACGAAGGACTTCATGTAGCATCCAGTTTCAAGGAACAGTTCGACGAAGTCGACGCGGTTACGAACCAGAGCGACCTCCATCGCCTCATCCAGACACAACTCCTAAAAGAGGCAGCAGTGGGAAGCATAGAGTGAGATGTAATTCTATCCAAGCTCCAATTTCATTGGCGAAGCTTGCAATTACTCACGCATTGCAAATTTACAATACTCGCGCATTATCCAGGGATGGAAAACACGTATGCCCTCATCCTGCAACTTTGTATTTTGCAGGGGCTGATCCAGGAGGTAGGGGAGGGCGGGGGTTGGGGTTGGGTAGCTGATCATAATGGAAAAAAAATCGCAAAATGTACTTAAAGTTCTCTGAGTAACGTCATCACACAATAATGCAAATCTTGAGTCATTGTTTCAGGTTTTTTGTCCTTGTTGTGTGTGTTGAGCTTCAACGCCACAACTACCCACTTTCGAACATTTCGGAACCCGCCAGTGCTTTTCGTCACTTTTCGACGGCAACTGATATGCTTCCTTTTCTAATAATGCTTTCAGGACCCAGGGAACTGAAGCTGCTTACGTTCCACGACAGGTTCTGGTTGAAAATCTTCTCCTTTGCAAGATCGACTCGGTTCCAGATCAGGGAGAGTTTCAGCTGATCCGAGGGAGACAAGTTACTGCCTGGAAAAAATAGAGAAAAATAGTGTGTTTGTTTCAAAATAGAAAGTTTTTAAGCGATGGCGTTGGACCGTTCGGGATTTTTCAATAAGCCCCGCCCACCTATACATTTGTGCGCGTTTCTCAGAGTTTGACCACGTGCTCGTGGTCACCTAACCAAAACTCGTGATTTGATTGGCCAATGCGTATTGCTTGATTGACAGACAGGAAGGGTCCATAGGCGGTGCCCAGCACAGCAAATGAACGAAGCGGAAAGCATTTTTTTCCATTTAATTTTTTGTTTTGTGTCGAATTTTAATCCGTAATTCCCTACAACTCTTAAGCTACACAGAAAAATGATTACATTTCATAAGGGCGTTGAGTATTGCGTAATCGATATCAACGTCATCTTCTGCGTCCACACTGTAGATAGTTATCTGCAAAGCAACAACGAGATACATGTATTAGTATGGGAGAGTCTTCATCGTGACAAATGTCATCACTGTCGTCACATTGTCACCATGTTTTCATTATGATCATTGAATCACTGTCGCAACTGTTGCGTCAGTTACATGAATGTCCCTAATGATACTGTCTCTATTTCCACAATTGTCAGTCATTGTCACAATTATTAAAACGCCATGCATCGTCTGCATTTCAACACTAGCAAAATAACTATCATCTCTGAATGAGGCATGGTAGTTTTTCTAATTTAATAGGCTTTCCTATTAGTCTTACCAATTCCTCTTATTTCCTCCATTTTCAGCATTCTGTACTGTAGACATGACACTTTTGGGGGTCTGCAGGACACTTTTTCCTGTGTTTTTGTCTGAGGATCAAATGTCATGTCTGCTTAATGTCATAAACACCACCTTGCCAAACACTGCCCGATGTTTGGATGAACACATGTGCTAACTGAGCCTTGCATTGCAGGAATGACACTGCTGGTGTTATGTTTAAAACTTTTTTGCAGGGCATAATGACTTTCTTACCAAATTCTTTCTCTTCATGACCTGTATCAGATCTTCGAAGAGGCTCTCGTGCTTGTCCTGGTTGCTAGGAAACGTGTGCGCAATCTTTTTCCTTAGTCTCTCCTCGTGCTCCGGCATGAGCGTTCTGCAAACAAACAAATAAACAAACAAGCAAACAAACAAAAACTGTCATCTGTCTTCCATTCTCTGCACCAGTTTACTTCGAGAAACCAATCCCGGCAGGAGATGTGAATCTTATTGACAGCGCCATCTACTGGCGGTTTTGCGTACGGGCAATATATATAAAAAAAAAAAAAAATCTCGAAACAAGGCTAGCGTAAAACCTTACCCCTCTCCATCCGACTTCGTGTAGGCGTATGCGATCAGATCTGCCCCTCGACCACTGCCCTCCGCGATGACGACGGGTATGATGGGATCTTTGGTGATATTCTCCAGGACCACACGGATGGTGTTAAGCCCGCCCTCTAGGACCAGACAGACGGCTGGAATGCCGCAGTCACCTGCAGAGAATAGCGGTTTAATAGATTATTGCATCCATACTGAATCTCAGCGTTTGATTAACAATGACTGGTGCAAATATTGAGCCACTCGGCAGATACTGGTTCCATCAAGCGTTGTATTGAAATTAAACACCAAACTATTTTTGGTAATTTGAAGTCTGGGTTCCACTTTGCAGGATTAGTTCCATTTAACGTCAAACATTTCTAAGTTGTAGTCTACACTAGAAGTGTTGATCCTGCATGCTCTTCCATGGTCTGTGTGTTTTGGAATATCACGAACAACAGGCGTGTTTAGAGGATATAACCCAACGTTTTTCATTTAGACATAGGATTATTTGTCTTTCATGCCTTTGTTCGTTTCCAATGATAACACCACTCACAATCCAAAGAGGAATGTTCAAATCCTAACCAGTTGAAGTTTGAGCTCAGTTGACATTACACTTGTCGAGAAAACAGTGGAAAAGCATGCGCAACCTTTTCATCACGAAACACGATCAAGTCGTCCAAAGCTCTTTTTGTTCCCCAAAACAATTGTTATCACGCACATTTCTTAATTTCCTTTTAATGACAGCAAACAAGATGGACTAATTTCACAGGGTATTTAGAGCTAGCACACAGTGGCGTCACCAGACTTTTCAGTCTGGGGGGGCACAGGGGGGCACCAGCATTTGATGGGGGGGCACTTAGGTGGATACGGATCGCCGTCCTGCGGGAGGGGTCTAAGGGGAGGGGGTGCCCCCCTCCCCTTTGGAAAATTTTCGCATACGGAGGATGGGCTAGATGCAAAATGGTGCCACATTTGCAGCTCATTTGAAGAAAATACGAATTACTGTGCTTCTTTGTCCTTATGAAAAACCAACTCAGATGATGGGAGTTGAATATAACAAAATATATATATATATTTTTACCAACCCAAATCTCAGATGGGGGGGCACTCGGGGGGGCACTAGGTTTTCCAGGGGGGGCACGTGCCCCCCCCTGGCCCCCCCTTGGCGACGCCACTGCTAGCACATAATCTTTAATCCAAGTAAGCTTTTTGATAATTAATTCGGTTGGTTACTTTTGGGATGAATGCAAATGATCCTATTAAGCCTCTAATATTGTGATCTTGGTTAAACAAGAACCCAGTTACTTTCTTGCACGTACTGGCAGAGTCCATCTTCTGGTTTGATACCAATTTCTCCAGGTTGGATCGGAGAGTGATCTCGACACCGTAATTGCCCACCGTGCCGTTGTCGACTAGGATGAAGTGGGTGTGGTTTGGGTCCAGCGACGCCCCTGTACTCTCCAATGAACTGGTCATGCGGTAATGCTTCACTCTCTGTCAAGACAATACGGGATGAAAGAGTATCTGAGTTAAATGTTCTTAGGCAGGACACTTTTGCAGCAATTGCTCTCCAATGAACGGGTCAGGGTGATGCTTCACGCACTGTCATGAAAACAAGGGTTGCATGAGGAATCTGAGTAATATGAATCATGGTGACTGTGTCCTTGGGCAAGGCACTTTGCAACAATTGCAGTATGTTCGTATATTTTGCTCAAGAAAGATTTCGAATGTCCACTGGAGTGTTATAATAAAAGAGAGTTTGTGGATATATACGTGACTGTGAAGTCATGAAAATAATGGATTGATTGTGGATTTAACTGATAGACTTAATTACCGCATGTGGTCTGTTTCTCTTGTCTTCCAGCTCCGCGTTGCCGTCCACTATTCCCCAGGACACCACTCCGATGGCGTTGATCTTGTGCCGTGACCTTAGGGTGTGCTCTCGCAGGGCCTTGCCCACGTGTTTCATCACACCTGTTCACGTCCAAGAACCACGCCCATAAGACTATTAAACACAACAAAACTAACCACTGGCTTTCACACCGTGGCGCATTATGATTCGCAAAGGGCTTGAGGCCCCTCCCCCTTTTTCCTTTTAATGTAATGGGCGTACTGAGTGGAAACTACGAAGCGCGTGTTAACAGTACCGTGCCAAAATACACGTACATAAAGCTATCCCCTTGATTATTTTTTGAGACATATTTTAAGGGACTGATTTCAATTTTTGAATTTCCTATTTCGGGGCAGTGTTTTAGATGAAACCGTTCAAATCACAACCCTTGCGGTGGAGCTAGGTGGCTCAATTTCCAAACACTCATTTGAACAACACAGTGAATTATTTTTCTCTCTAGTTCCTAACAGAGTTGTAACGAGTCACTGATTTTTGTGACTCGAGTCGAGTCGAGTCATTTTAAAGAAGTGACTCGAGTCGAGTCGAGTCATTAGGTCAACAAGGTCGAGTCGAGTCGAGTCGAGTCACAGAGTGTGGTCGAGTCGAGTCGAGTCGAGTCAAGTATTTAGCTCGAGTCAATTCGAGTCACAAATATTTGAACACTAAATTACAATAAAAAGCAACAAACACAAGAGAGAAAGAATACAAGGCACCAGTCTATTACGGAAATCCAAAGATATAAAGTATGCTGTATGGTACCCAACCAACAGTTTCCATTGCTAGCTCACGTCACAGATAAGAAGATGTGAAACTTCGGTCTTATAACCGGTTTGGCTTCGGATCTAGATTTTGTTGTTCGCTGATCGCTGACAACGTTAAAACCTAATTGCATTATACAAAACTGTTTCTGATTATTTAAAGGTGGGCCCGTCCGTATCCATTTTTTTGTGTGAAATCGGGACATGAATTTAGCCAGCGTTCCACCAAGAACTTCAAAATCGCCCGAAACCAATGATGAAACCACGGATTGAGAAATGCGTTTTAAGTCTGGTTCCGGGTTTAGCATTACATGCTATAGAACCACAAGGTGGGAGTCCGCGACACGGTGTATGTTTGTTGTTTCATTATGGAGGAAGGAAACATACTGCCGCTGTATATAAACGTACATTATTCGCGAACATTAACGTGACGTGAACAAAAACTGGCAACGCGAACGGTGCAGCGTAAGTCATTGCAAATATTTTTCGCAAGTAAGTTTTGCTTTTATTTTGGGACTCGAGTCTTATTAGCCTTCCTCGAGTCTTATTAGCCTTCCTCGAGTCGAGTCGAGTCATTCTGATGAGGGACTCGAGTCGAGTCGAGTCATTTGCTCGCAGTGACTCGAGTCGAGTCGAGTCATTTACCCGTCGGGACTCGAGTCGAGTCGAGTCGCCAAAAAATGTGACTCGAGTCGGACTCGAGTCGAGTCATTGACTCGAGTCATTACAACTCTGGTTCCTAAGAACTTGCTGGAAACCAAGTCGCTTCGGGAAACGAGCCAAACTGGCTTCGACTAGATCCATCTTTCGACTACATTACCATTCACCGTAGATTTTACAGTAAAGAATTGTAAATGCAGTATTTTTACCACATGTTCATTCACATCCAACTGAACCCTAATCGGTTAGCTGGGTGTCCAGTTTTACTGTTCTTAAGGCAAATCTTATCATATTTTTTTTTTAGCACAGTAGTCCACCATCTCTTTTTTTCCTTGAGGTTTTACTTGCAATTTACATATGGAGTCCGGATTTTTATTTGCTCCTTGCTCCATCTTGCCTCATCTTCACCCCCCTCCTCCTTGTCTTCATATTCTTCTTCTTACCCGTATTTGTTCCCCCAGTCAGGATCCAAGCGTCAGTCGACTCGGCTACCTTCACGATACCCTTCCGGAACACCCTCCTGAGCTTGGGTTGGAGGACGAAATCCTTGGCTCCTCCGGTCACCTCGATCAGCAGCTTAGGGAGGGGCAGGTCCCAGGTGTTGGTCAGAAGATCTAAGATGTCCGAGGCTGGGGTGTCATGAGCCACGCGGACGTACTGGAGGATTGGGTTGTGATCAAGATGTCATAAGTAATCGGAGGTGATCACCGTACTAACAAGTCATCAGAAGTCATTTAGTGGTTATCACAGATTATCACTGTGTTATAGGGGGTCTGCCCGATGTTCCCCAATACGTGTGTTCCCCAATACCGATGTTCCCCGAAATCCTTAGGATTAGGGTTAGGGTTAGGGTTATATGGTAAAGATTTCGGGGAACATCGGTATTGGGAAACATAGGTATGCACCCGTGTTATAGTCATCTCAAGTCATCACAAGTTAGCACTAATTATTACAAGTGATCACAAGTCATCAAAAGAGTCACAAATCATCACAAGTAAATTACAAGTCATCACTCATCACTAGTCATCACAGGTCATCACAATAAGTCATTACAAGTAATCGCTAGTCATCACACGTCATCTGAAGTGAATCATAAGTCATCATAAGTTGAGTGATCAGCTACTACAAAGGCATTTCTTTGTCATTGTTCATTTACTGTTTCTTGTGACCAGACTTGTGACCTGACTTGAAACTTCACCACTTGTTTTTATCTTTCTTAACCTTTTTCTTTTGAAACTTGAAAAATAAACGGAGGGAACAAAAATGGCCCATTCCCTTTCCCCTTGGCCCCTACATTACTGTTTACTGCAGAAACGCCGGATAATTTGTGCTTCACTAAACAAATCATAAGTCCTTCTGTTTTCCTCAAATTCATTTTTCAATAGTTTTTTTTTTTCAATTTTCCATTTCCCATCGTAGCATGTTGTGGGCCCAAGAAAGCATATCAACTTGACCTCGTACCTTAGCCCGCGTAGACGTCCAGACTCCTTGGAACTCCACCTCCCCGAAGGCATCCGTGGGGGATCGGCGCGTGTATCGCCCGTCATCTGGATCCCAAGTCTCGCCTGGTTCTGCTTCTACGCACTCCGGAACGTGATACTCAAAGACACGGCCACACTGGCAACTACAGAAAAGAACGAAAGCCTCTCAAATATCTGCATTAATTTCTGCATCGTTTTTTCTAGACATGTTTCATTAGGCTTACATGCCAAAGTGCCACAACAGATCGATCTATTAGGCCCCGCCCACTGCGCACGTGGGAAACAACATGTGCGCCTATCCAATGCTTCACCGTTTGAGCCGCACTGCATGTTCAAGACGCGCGCGTTATATGCATATTGCCTACCCACGTGATATCAGACCTTTTTCCTGGGCATTGTCACAGTAGTCTGAGTATCACCAATATCCACGGAGCCAAGTCTCCTGTTTAACGTCTATGTTAAAGCATGCAGATTGTATGCCATCTCGCGCCTCAGCCAATCGGAGTCGACTTTACTAAATCGTGACGTCATTTCATTCCCAAATCCGGACTAAACGTGTGATTGGTCAATTCCAACGCAGTGTTTTGTAATACAACAATAGCCGGGCGCGTATCGCATAACATGATACAGAGCACGTGACCACAGCCTTTGTTGCTGTGTCTAGGTTCTTTTTTTTTCGTAACTTTCTCTTTTAAAAAGCTCAGTCTGCCTGCCACAAATTTCCTGTCTCTGGAATTACTTACACGCCTTGTGATTTCTTGCTGGGCACGAAGCGGATGCAATCCACTTTCTTGAAGGTCTCTCTGATCATCTCATGGCCCGAGCGAATCTATGGGAAGAGACGACAAAAAGCATGCTTCACCGAGTATCAACGGACGAGAAAATATCAATATTCGTGGAGCAAATGTTATCTTTGGAGTTGTCCCTCGTCGACCTTTTGACTCTTGTTCCAGGGGTGAGAGCTAGAGAATACAAAAGCTTTTTCGAAATGTGTCTCACAATCTGTCACAATAATCCAACTCCTGAGTAAAAGGGTACCTGTGAGGGCAGTGTTGGTGACTGTGAGAGGTTGAATACGGCCAAGATCGCCGAAATGGCTGCCTACCGGCCGTGTATGCGTTGAGGTTTCAGGAGTGTTTGCCCGTTGAAATAGGGAAAATAATAAAGCGTTTCGATCATCCGTTGCGGCGTATAAAAGCGCTATATAAATGCCTGCTTTTATTATATTATTATTATTATTCAAACAAATCAAATGAGTTTTTTTCTTCCAACGGATTTTTAAAAGGCAGTGGAAACCGGTTTAATTAATAGCATTTTGTTTTCAACCCAAAGCCATGTTACCAACTGCCAAGTAAATGAGTGATAGTTTGGACTCCTTAAATGACAAGTGCAGCTGAGTTTCTCTGACGAGCCCCATTCATTAAGAGTGTCCTCGAGCAACGTAATTACATTTGCCTGCGGAATACGGTTGTAAAGCGGGCAAGTTTGGTATAAGGAATGAATTCCGACGTATGATGTTACGTAATGGGCATAAGAGGGTATGTCTAATTTGCATTGGGAAGAATGTGCATAGAGTCCAGGGGAAAGCGTTTGTAGGTTTATTCTAGCTTGCGACTTCAGTTCACTGAGTTCAGTCACAAGCACAAAGATGGAGCTGGGCGACATTTCCGACCTCGTCGAACTGAAAATTCAAGAAAGTCAATTCTTAAGGTCAAACAAATTAAGTAACCTTCAGTAACAACAAAAGTCAGTGTGAGCCGAATGATGTGCAGGTTGTCAAGATAGAGGAATTGGCGCAAACGAGGGAATGTAGAACAGCATAAGGTCAACAGTAAAGCTATGATCAGTTAAAGGAATGAAGCCGCGGATGTCATGCTTGAGCTTGCGGACAGCTCGGACGCCGACCACCGCAGACCAATATGAACGAAGCTGCCTCGCAGAGGACTTGGACGACGAAAAAAAACACGCATCATGAAAGCCGAGGCAAGCGCGCAGAGAAAGATCAAAACTAAGACAAGACGAAGAAATTACAGTGGGGTAGACGATAATACTCCACACGCAACCAGATCCGAAGCAACGACGGCAGGTTTTAGCGGAGCTAGCACAACGCCGGATACCAGTTACGGCTACGGAGGTCGCAAACCGGAAGCGCTTTTAGCTTGTTGGAAGTTCGGCCACTGGAGTGACGGCCATAAGGTAAGTGAAACAGAGAATGTATTGTGGCGTTATAATGGTCAGGTTCAATACCAAATACCATCTCCTGTAGGGCGCTTAAAGGTAATATAAGAAAAAGGAAAATACAAATGCAAGTAGTAACATACTGAGCATTTTACGGAATGATTTTCAGCTTCCACTGCTAATGGTGTCCGAAAACAAAGCTGAGATTAACCCACACTTGTACGAACAAAAAGTCAAATACGAGGACGCACAGGTTGTCGTAGTCCGAAAATTTGGGACTCTCAATACTGTGTATGAGAGTCCAAAAACTAAAGGTATTGAAAACAATCAAAAACAAGACGATAGACTGGTACCTGTAACAACCAGCTCAACACAACTTCAGAACTGCATCAATCAAAATAAAGTGCCAAAGAGGGGTGCTGTGCATGGGCGTAGCAGGGGGGGGGGGGGGGGGGGGCAAGGGGGCTTGCCCCCCCCCCCGGAAAACGAAAAAAAAAGGAAACAGGAAAAAGAGGTGCGAAGCCAAATTGCTGTTAATTTGATGGGGGAGGGGGCAAATGCTCCCCTGCTCACGCTCGGAAAAATGATAAATTGAGAACATAATGAAAAAGCTAAGAAATTTTGGGGAAAAATTTGCTCCCCCCCCGAAAAAAATCCTGGCGACGCCCATGGTGCTGTGGTCTAATGGTTACGGTGTTCGGCTCGTGTGCTGTGGTACATGGGTTCGAATCCTGACGGGCAACATGGTGCTTGTTTAGCGTCATTGCTAGAGGGCGAACTATTATATTACAAGGATTACGTTTTGTTCAATGGAAATATTTACGACAGCTGCACTGCAGATATGGTTATTTGAAGAAAATGGTAAGAGATTCACAAAAAAATCAGGTGGATTTAAAAACGGAAAGTAAGCTTGTCAAGGGACCGGTTGACCGTATTAAAAATCGGTCCACTTGTCACAAAGGCACTTTATACCATTATTGCTTCGTCCTTCGGAGGGGACATAAAGCCGTAGGTTCCGTGTGATATGCACGTTAAAGAACCATTTACACTTATCGCAAAGAGAAGGGGTTTGTCAAGGTGTTTCTGACAGTGGCTACAATATGCGCCGCAACACCTTGTATAGGCCTACCCTTTTATACAAGTGCTACATAAGGGGTCTCACATTTCTCATAAACTTCATTTGCCGTACCTGTCTTTAAAAAATGTAGTTACCAGGGCCTTGAGTACCTAATTGTTGGCAGATACTTGCGCTATAATAAGACTCCGGTATTTTTATTAAAAGAAACATTTGGCAAGTTGGGAAATTCACAATTATGAATTTGAAAAATAGCAGAACAAGTTATTGTTCAAGACGGTTGATAACAAAACAACATTACTTGCCTACGCTCTTTGAGTTCTAGCCTCCTAGCAACTCATACCCTGTTCATTGGTATAAACGTGTATGCATTTTCGTTGTGAGTGTTCGGAAGACGACGATTTGATTATAAGAATAGACAAGAACCAAGGGCGGATCCAGAACATAAATTTTGTTGGGGAGGGGGTCGGAGGGGGGGGGGGGCCCAAAAGGTTTGTTTCCCAAAAACATTTACGGAGTGGGTAACGGGAACCACTTAAGGGCCCGATTTTTTTGGGGGGGGGGATTCTAGATGCTCCGTGGTGCGATCCAAGACAATTTCTGACCACTTTCACCAATTGTTTTTAGCAAAAGATTGCGGTGTACGCAGTGCCTGCCAATTTTGCGACGTCACTCAAAAAAATTGAGTTCGTTTTTTTTTTGGGGGGGGGGGTGGCCCCCGTTGCCCCCCCCCCCCCCGGCCCCTAGATCCGCTGTTGACAAGAATTGGCAAGATTTCTTGCCGATCCCCCTTTAACCGGAACAGAAGCATTTGCCAAAATTAATCTATATCCTGCCTTGCCGAACGCTGTGACTAATATAATAGTGCAAACTGTTACATGACACAGGATTTGTAAGCGGGCTTGTCCCCGCGTCGAAATTCAAGTCGTTGAAAACTGAAAGATATTTTCTTGTTTTCAAAGTGTCGGTAACAAAATTTATGAAATTTATAAACACCGAGAGAAGGGACATTAGCATGCAGATGTTTTGTTTCGACACTGTTTACAATGACCTTCAACCGTTTGCCTTTATGCTTACTATCTATCATTCCACCATTCTATCCATCATTCACTTTTAATTAACTTTTTTTCCTAGAATAAAAGTACTTCTCCTAATAAACAAATAAAGAAATTAAAGGGCGCAGGCAAAGAAATATTTTAGTGCAATCCTTGAAAATGCACCTTTGTGTCCCATTAAACCTTATTTTCAATTTTCGATTTGCCTTTTTTTTGTTTTTATGCTAGTTCAAATTTCAATATTTATAAGCAAACGGTGATGTAGTTCCGGGCAGAAACCTCAATGTTACAGCTATTTCAACACAAAAAGTTGCTGGAATTTTGGATATTTTGCTGTCGCAAATTTCTTTTCTGTGGCGGTTCGTTGTTGTGTCAGTACATGGCCATAAGCCAATGAGCAAACTTTTCTCACAAATGTCTCAATGAGCAAATTGTTGAGTTGACTTTGCAATTTTAACAGAAAACCCCTAAACTGAACAATGTCTTCCTGAAATGACATCACAACAACAGCGCCCTCAGATGTCCAAAAAAAAACCCATGAACAATTGTAAATGATTAAAGAGCTGCACTTTTCAATAAGATAAACCAAAAAAGGGGTATCATATAGTTTTTATACTTGTGAGAGGAGTAGAAATTTGCACAAAAATGTAGCTCAGAACAATTCTCTTCGTGGACCCTTTAAGTTTAAGTTCCACGATACTGTTCGTAGTCTACATCACCAGTTTACCTTTAAGTCCTCCTGGATGACGCTGACAGAGCGCTCGCTTCGAAATTCCTCCCCTGGAGAAGACATCTTGAACAGAGACTACGGTCAAGGAAAAAGAACTCTCAGGAAATGTCCACAAAACACCACTGGAACGACTGCGTTCAGTTCGAAACTCTAACAGGATTTCGGGGATCACCTTTTCAGCAGACAGGCAGTATCAAAAGTAGATCAAGTTCAGATCTATAGTGAAGCCTATGAGTATGAAGACGGTCTTTCCATGGTCCGATTACAGTCAATCTAGAGCAGCATGTGCACATGATGTCATGTCCAAACAAGTCAGTGACGAATTCCCGGTCCCTTCCTGCGGGTGCAGGCAAGGGGGCACTTTCACTGGGTGTTGCAAAACTTCAACGGAATCCACTCGAAAAGTAAAGAAAACACTATAAACCCGGAAGTTACAGTTTAATTAATCAAGGCTATGCTCCGTTGTGACTCTCCCATGGGGGCAGTATGGGTGTATACAAGTCGTGTGCAGTGTACATGTACATGTATGCGTAGAGTATAATGTGGTATACTGTGTAGTTTGAGGGCTTCGTACAAACTCGGTATGGCCGGTGATGCGCGACCGCTGATACAGTGTCCCTACACAGTTTCGACACCGGCCGGTGATGCGCGACCGCTGATACAGTGTCCTACACAGCCTTTCGTCAAGGCTACTCCATGTTGCAAGCTTCTCAACTCGGTTCGTCCAATCACACTGATGATAAGTGATTACTTCCAAACGGCTCAAAACAAGACCAGCTTCCTAAAAAATGTCGGGGAGACTCGTTATTGCACAAGACCCCAGACGAGGCTGAAAAGACCCGGCAATCGATCCACTTGTCCCGGGGCATGAGGTCAAAGTTGCAAGAAAGAATGTGAAACGACTGCAAAGTGAAACGGTAGTTTTTATTCCTTCATGGTAGAATGCAGTGATATGCGTGCACACTTCTTCCTCCATGTGTGAACTTAGATGGCCGGATATGGCGTGTTACAGACCAATTTACCAGCGGAAAATCACAGGCCTACCGACGTAGAATGTGTCACTCGACTAACCAACTAAGCGGGTAGGCCCGGTTTCACCACAAAAAGACGAAAGACATTATAAATTTTCCCCGAAGCCTTTTCCTTTTTGTAAAACTACCAGGAAAATAATTTCTTTTGATAGTTCCAAAGTCCAATTATTACGACACGGCCTAATAAGTAGTTATACGCAGCGAATGTAACTTTGGGGGGTTTGTCGTTTAATTTGATCGTGACAATTGATACAACAAAATGGACTTTCACTTTCATTATTGACACTCTCAGGCTCATGCTTGTTCTTGTTTTGGTTGTAACTTATAAGGACCATTGTTTCTTCTTAACGTCTGAGCGTAAGGTTGATTACGTGCGGCGGTATGACGGCGCGCGGATCCGCTTTCGTTTTAATTGTTTTCGATATAACCTCTTTTGACCGCATTTACATTACAAACAAAACGTCGCTTCCAGCCTCAAAAAGGCAAATTGGATCAATTGCCGTTCATGCATTTCTTCGTTTGTTTTCCTTCCTCTATGCTAATACTAACACCACTCAAGTCCAAAGTAGAGTGTAAAAAACTAACTTGTTGAAGTTTCAGCTCGATCAGTGGATATATTACAGCTTTCGAGAAAACAGTGAAAAACATGCACAACCTTTTGATCACGACACACGATTTCGCCTTTATAACTAGTGTGTATTTCCGAAAATCAGCAAACAGACTGAACGTTTGAAATCATGATTTCTTCTAAATGACAGCAAGCCAGCTAACTTCACGGTGTGTTTAGTACTGGTGTAGCGTGAATATCCGACTCCATGAAATGTGGACTCATTGGTAGTATTGCGCACGCGTGGGTACGATACTATGCTATTTTTAGGATCGTTTCGGGAGAGTGACCTGTCACGTGCGAGGGATTAACCAATAATAGGGAAAAGGGGTCAGATTTTCATAGGAGTCGGGTTTTCATGTGACACCGTACCACTACGATCTTGAATCAAATTTAGCTGTTTGATAATTCAGCAGGACACTTTTGGATTAAATGTAAATGATCCTTAATTCCTTTAAGTTAACAGTGTGGTATCAGGATTGAACCTGTCAGTCGAATCAATGGCGTTTGATTTCACGTCGACCAAAACAAACCATGTTTGAAGTTGTTCTTTGATAAAGGATAGGACGCCATCTTATAAAACTTTGCTGATATAATTGAGTTGTTTAATATGGACTACGAATTCACTTTTCATACGGATTAAAAGATAAAGTAGACTTGAAATCAAGTCGGTAATTTGCCGGATTTAGTTCACCCACCGCGCACCGGCGCGGCGTGGACACAGCATACCGTCCCATATGGTATACGTGGGGCGGGCACTAACTTGCGGGGACGCTTTGTGCATCCTCGGTCCCAATGTGCGTGTAAATCGATACCAATTTATGCCAATTGCCAGCCAATGATGAACACGATACACAGCGCCGTGCTAGTAAATATTGGGAGCGCCGACAGACAAAACACGACTGTCTAGCGACTTGTTCTCAAGTCTAAAGATAAAGTGGCAGTTTTGCCCGTGGGACACTTGGTATTTCGACGGGCATGCCACTTCTCCACAAATATTCATACCGCCCTCTATCGATACATGGTTGAAAAGATTTCCTAATTGGCTAAACATTGTCATTCTTTCTCCAGCAAAGCCTTTTTTTCTCTTCTAATCTTTGCGGCGCTCAAGCCAATACAAATCATAGCTTTCCGAGTTGGAAAATCGAGATTTTATAATGTAATGGAAAAATTTAAATGCCGCCATGCTACAATAAATCTAAATGAATTAAACAATAATAAATAGTGTCCATGATGAAGTACCTATCGAGAAAACACTAGGAATGGCTTTGGAACTTGGAAGAAGGAGTATGCATCGTCACACACAGAGCACAAACCTGGGACGAAATGAAGGTCACTCTGGGTCAAGTTTGGGAATATTTAACCTACACGACAAGAGCGCTCATTCTTGTTTTACTATACTCCCGAGGACAATGCCTTGTGTTTCCCTTTGCCACTGTAATATAACACTCTTCCATAGACTATAAGCACACGAACCTACTACAGAGGACCGTTTTGAACAAAAGATCCAACGCCCGAGGACTAAAAGGAAATGTTGTTCTCCCCTTGTGTGTCGGTCCTCAGGGGTTATGTAGAACACGTACACCATGTAAAACGATCAATAGTGCTGCTTGCATGTTGCATAGAAATACGATATCATTCCGGATACGGATTTCTCTTCAGGTTCAACTGGCTGATCTTCCACAGACGTCACTAAAAAAAGTTCACCAAATGTAATCTGCATTCATTTTGGACTTTCTGTTTGAAATTCTGCTTTAAATTGAAGGTTTGAAAGAAAAACGTCAGCACAATAATGTCCCCCTGAAAAATACTTATACACAAAGCCACACTATTATGTACACGTATGTTTTCCACAGGCAGAACGACTATACCTTTTCGTGTATTTCCTAGCCTTGTATTTCTATTAAAAAAAAATCCATCTATATTTCAAATGACACGGTTTTTCCTTGCTCTATTTGTAGAGAAACTGTAGAATAGAACTGTTAAATTCTGCGTCAAACAGCGACCAGAGGAACGTTTGTAAACAAATGCCAAGTGCGTGATTTTTATGGGTCGATCCAGACCAGTAAATGGGCACAAAATTGCCTACGCCGGCCAAATCAGGATTTGGATGCCCTCAAATCCTTCGGTATAAGAGCATTTTGTGGGCCATGAGCTTGAGGGTTTGTAAACAGGAAGGGTGGAAGCCGTGCACACGACTGTGAGTTGTATTTCTATGAAATTGGGCCCTAAAAGCGCTACATCGTTTTTCAAAACGGCGAAGGGCTTCAGGACTATTTTAGGGGTGATCATCTTCGGATGGACATTTTTCCCAAATTGGTAATCAGATGCCCCCCCCCCCAACAACTTACGTATCTTGATCACCTCAGAGAGTTGTGAGTAATTATTTTAAGAAGTGTGCGTAATTACCAATAAGGTCTATGGCAGCCCATTTACTTGTCTGGACCCCTTTATACATCATGTACAAGTATGGCGCCCTCACTCGACAGCAGTTTTTTTTGTTCACACACAAATCTAGAAAATTCGAAATGTAAAATGTATGTAGAGAATCTATTATTATAGTCAGGAAATACCTCAAATGTTTGGGATGTCACTGTTCCTGTTATGCTGAAAGACTTGCCTATTTGTGGTTCCCAACTTGGTCAAATATATATATCTCTTCCTGGAAAAACAGTCCGTTATAGTTGGTTCCAACTTGACAGGGAAACCCCTAGGATAACCAGTTCATACCTGTTCCGAAGTAAGATCCACTACATTGCCGTCGACTATTTCATAACCAGCGGCGTCCGGTCTCCCTAGTGGGCGGGGCGACCGGCGCGGGCCGTACCCAGACCCGAAGAGGGTAGTCCGCGGTCGGCCGGCATACCTCCGTCGTCTCTTGTTCATTCTCGGAGTCCAAACGCTGCTGGATTTATGCTTAAAAGTGGCGAATCCCAGTTATGTGGAGACAGAAACTTGGACCACGTGAAACACACCTGCCTCTTTGGTAAACAGTGTACCAAACTGGGTCGTTGCACTCCTGCCAAAATAACAAACAACTCAACGCCATCTCGACCTTTGCTCTTTGAAATAGGAGCGGTGTTTGGACTGTGAATGATTCTGTTTGCGTTACCCCCAAATATATAGTGTAGTTATTCCATCAGTCTTTGTAAACAGCAAGTACAAAAGTTACCATCAAGTTCGGTCGCATGCGTTGCTGCGATTCTACAAAAGGCGACTTCCGAAACTTCACGTTCTTTTTGAAGTTTAATGACCCATATATTATCCTTTGTGCAGTATTCATTGTCAAATTTCGCACGAGCAGTCGGTTTCGGTTTCGCTTTCAAAATGAAATTGAATCTTTACTGTAAATTAAGAAGTCTTCTCCTTTCCATGTATGCCTAATTGATTAGCAATTGGGAATGATGAATTGGAAAAATCCTGAGGTTTTTTCTGACTGTTGAGAAAAACAGGGGGCGTGAAAGTGGGGTGGGGGAGGGGGTGGGGTGGGACATGTGCAATATATTGGTGTCGCTGTATGTTTAAGACAGAGACTTGTTTGAAACAATTTCTGTGCTTAAAAATTACGTTCATTCCTGAAGGTTTCAACTGTTTCATTTTAAGAGTTACTTGGACGCTTTTATTTTCCTCAGCCCTTCTTTTTAGGACTACTATTGTTTTACATTATTTTGTTTAATATTCAGTTCAAGGAGGGGCGGAATTTGTGTTTTCCAGTGGTGCAACAAAAGGTGGGGGAGGGGGAGGGGGGGGGGGGGGCCTAAAGGGGACGAAAGGGAGGTGGGCCCTGGTTATCCCCATTCACAAATTTTGATTGATTTGTAAAATTTTCTGCATTTACAAGTTCTTCATTATCAACAAACGGATTTACGACAGCCATATTTGTTCTTCAAATTTAGCCCCAGTTTGATAAACGTTGACCGGGTCGACTACATGTATATACAGGGTGCCCCCACCCCCCCCCCCCCCCCCCCCAAAGTGTGCTATCAAAACTACTTAACATGAGTATTTCATCTTGATGGAGCATATTAATAATACTTTGGCAGTTAACCTAATTTACATCCAAGTGTAAAATCCCCATGACAATCTGATTCACTGATGTGTAAAGCCCATTGGAAAGGGTGAACAACCCATTTTACAATCTGTTTGCACGAACGGATTTCCATGGCATTTTCACTGATTATACACAGAAGTATGATTAATATGGTCCATCAAGATGCAATACTCATGTTAAGTAGTTTGGAAGAAATAAAGGATATCTGCCTGCACAACTTTTTGGGGGGACCGTCCCCTGTATAAAATTCCCGAAACCATGTTTACGCGGCATTGAATTCTACAAAATCGTCAAAGGCATGTCCGAGATTAGTATCCGTATTCCCTCTATGCAAATAATAACAATCATTCGATAAATGATTGAATAGACAAAGTCAACAAAACACAGTCCAATCATCGTCACTGCTCAAAAATAAATACTTTATTCAGCCATTTCGGTTTAAACACACCACCTTTATCTTTGTACAAATAAAAAGTTTATGTGCCCCCCAAAAACGTTTCGATTAGAAATTAGCGACAGCACATTTAGTGACGGTAACGACTTGTAGTCAGCCAATAAAAGTAAGCCATCAAACTGAAAATTCTTGTTGTGGATATCGATATAGCGCTTGCATTTTTTTTTTAACATTTTACCAAAATAATCTGCCCATGTGCTTAAAGTCAAATAGACACACAATGTAATCCTTGAAATCTGGATAAAGGAAGAAAATGAGGTTCAGAAGAAAATAAGGTGAACAACAATTTTAAAGATTTCATGAAAAAAAAGCATTTGTACATTTTCTTTGAGTGTAGTGAAAGATAGGATTGAAATGATGTTGCACACAACGGATGGAGCTATCACAAAGCGCAGAGATATAGCCACACCAACACGATCACACACACACGCATTCACATTACACTCCTACTGTGGACAATACAAACCGGCCAAAAAAACTCACTTTACTGTGAAAACTCTTTCAACTCAATTTTCTTAGTATGATTTCCTTGAGTGTTCCTCCTCATTTTGCGACAATGTGGGGGGGGGGGGGGGACATTGTGTGGACATGGGAAAGTCCACGCAACGTCACTGCTACCTGGTTTATGCGGACATCTTTTGTTGAGAGGTCCACACAGTGAAGGTAATGCTTGTACACACATACACACACTCACGCTGTCGAGAATTTCTATACGCCCGAGGACAATGCTTTGTGTTTCCCTTTGTCCCTGTAATATAACACTCTCCGATCCCACAGACTTAACCAGAAACCGTACGATCGAGGACCGTTTTCAACAAACCAACGCTCGAGGACAGAAAGGATCTTTTGTTCTCCCTTTGTGTGTCTGTCCTCTGTCGTTAAGCCATACATGTACACACCCACACAAAATTATTCACAGCCATTAATTAAAGAAAAAAACAATATTTCGTGCATGATGAAAACAATAACGGATACATATTTTTTTAAAATCAATATCTCTTTTACAATTCGTGCTCGTTCAAGGCAAAGGTGATAGAGAGACCACACGCAAACTGTAAATAGCGCCCTCATTCCACATCAGTCGTAGCAACTCGTCACTTCGCTTTCCCCCACAGTCATGTCATCATTGGATACACTAAGTACACACCATTGGTCTCCATACATGCAGTTTGTATGTATGGAGATCAATGGTGCACACTTATTCGGCGACAACCATTTTCTGAGATGGCACTGCGGCGGCACCAGGCTCGCGCGAGTCGCACTCAGAGTGTACGCGCGGACTCCGGGCTCCTTCGACCAAATAAATATGCGCCCGCCTTGTCTTTAAGAACGCGTGCGGTATGCGCGTGGGCGTGGAACCACCGCAAAACTGGCTTCTAATTTTGTTTGCCGGATTACACTATCAGGTTTGTAAGTGACTACGTCTGACACGCGCACGCACCACTACTTACAAACGCCCATTGGCTAAAGAGGGCACTTTGCACTACTTCTAGTTCCAGTGGTTCCCATGCTACTCCATGTGTAGTGGGCGTGGTTTAACCTGAAGTGACGTCACACTTACGAACCGGATAGCTTCGACCCAACCTCGCTTCCATGGGAACGAGATCTTGCTGCGCCATGTTGTTTCCCATCATGCCTTGTACGATAAAGGAGTCGAGGCTGGCTTCGACCTGAAGTGAACACTGGCGCATGCGCACGATGCGCGCGTAAAGCGTAAATGTTCTTTAACAATACTCTGTACTGATGACGTCACACTTTGTTTACACATGTGCTTTCTTATGGGAGCCTGGTGGGACGACGGTTTCGTAGCCCCGTAGAAAAGCACACATGTAGATAAAGTGTGACGTCATCAGTAGAGAGGCTTATTATGGCAATTACCAGTGGGAATGAGCGAATCTTTTAACACACACTCCACACACTGACAGTTATTGTTATAAACATGAATGATAATGAAAACGTGAAAATGGAAAATGAAGCTGGTGGGTAACTTTTGCAATTTTACACAATTTGCAAGTTGAACTTGAAGTGGTAACAATATGAAATAAAATATGTTTGACCTAAAACGTGCAATTGAAATGATATCTTTTGCTGATATGTATTTTTTTCTTGCAAAAGTTTTTCAACATATCAGATTTAACCGAATAACCACACTTGCCATAAGAAATTAAAAAAAAAACCCAGAAAACCTTCCTCCACATTCGAAGATTTTCTGTTTTGGAATGATTTTTTTTCAGTTATGCGTCCTCGTCACTTCAAAAAACGTAATACTCATTACATTCAATTTGATCACAGAATTGAAATCTTAAGGATTTACCATTTGATGTGAATAACTGGCAAAAGGTAAAATCAATGTTGAAACTGGAAACAAAGTCAACAAAACTCTTTGTGTATAGTTAAATCACAAAAGCAATAATGTATATATATATATTTAACAGATTAATTACACATGTATATTTATAGTGCATCAGACGTCACGAATGGTTAATGTAAGATAATAAATACAACTTTTTGAACGCACTTTCAAGCTCTGAGAGGACATTTAAAATGCATTGTTTCCTTCAGGAAATTTCTTCGGAGATAGATGATAACAACACTTTGGACATCACCAATCATAAATCGGAGCGATCCCTGTCCTTGTCTATTCTGGAGCGGCTCGTACAATATGGCGTCCCCCACCAAGGTAATAGTGTGTGTACTTCGCTTTTGGCGAGCGGCCATTTTGAACATTCCGCATTAAGTTATTCATCTCGAATGAGTACTGCGCCGATCCCGCTCTCGTCCGTGTGCTTCCCAAAGGGGTCATGGCGTTGTGTCTCTGCCTCCCCTTCAAACAGGCAACCAAAAGATTCCGGTAGCTCCGCCCACTGAAGGCGTACACAAAAGGGTTGATGGCGGAGTTGGAATACGACAGGCACAGACAGAAGATGTAGAAGTTGTAGCTGGCTTCGCTCGCACCTCGTCGCTTGGACTGGAACAACGTGACCAGATGCACGGCGTGGATTGGTCCCCAGCACACGCCGAATAAGACCACGACCAATAACGTCATGCGCGTGATCTTCCATCTGCGCCTGCGCTGCGCCTGCGTGGACGAGGACACGATGAGGTATTTGCTCCAAACAGTGCGCAGAATCCGTAGATAGCAAAATGTCATGACAATGAAGGGTAAGATATACGTGATCAACACTGCGTAAAACTCGTAGCCCTTCTGGGCGTCCAGACTTATAAACTTTTTGGCACAGAAAGCCCCTCCGTCGTCCAGGAACGTTTCCATTTCGTAGAAAACAGCAACGGGAATGTGCAGTAAAAACGAGGCTATGGTAGGAAAGAAACGTTTGAAAATGTTACTGTTGTCATAAATAAATTAACAACAGACTGCCATGAACAAAATACTGTATATCCCCAAAAAGTGTCCGTTTGACTATTTTTAAAATAACTACAAAACCAGTAAGTAAATTTTGATTTTTTGTGTGATTGTGCATATCTCCTTATCATTCGCCTAAACCGCTGTGAGTTTCATTGAATATCAGTCACGCATCACTACACAATTGTCAATTGATCACAACAACATTTTTGGACCCTCTTAGACGAATTTCAGTGCTGTGTTATGTAAGCTGTGTAAAATCCTTCATGTTGTTAAAAGGGCTGCAGTTGGGATTAGAATCATTTGCCTGGCTACCAGTCATCATATCAAGATATCAGTTTAATGCTCAAGGGCTAATGAATCCAGAACCAAACCATATCAGCTTTTTTCACAACATGCAGGATTTTGCACAGCTTAAATAACACATTGATTATTGGATTCGTTGATGAGACATTGATTAAGGCAAAGAACTTGGTCATAGTGTCCAAAAATGATAAATTAACAATTGTGCAGTGATGCGTGACTGAAATTTAATGACACTCATAGGGGTTTAGGCCAAGGATAAGGAGTATATGCACAATCAAAAATTTTCAAAATTGACTTCATTGTTTTGTCGTTATTTCAAAAACAGTTAGACAGACACTTTTTTTGGAATATACTGTATATAACATTCAACATTTAGTCAATGTTATCTTCCGAAACACACTGAACCAAGTGTTATTAACAGTGTTAACAACCAGTTTCTTAAAACCTCTTGAATACGAAAAACGATAATTTAGGTTATGAAATTTAGTTCATGTTTTGTGCCAATAAACTTAACAACGGCATTCAAATATTCATAAGGCTATTTTACTTACTTATCCATATAATGATATTGATAAATGTTGTCCTCCTAACTGTCCGCGTGTGTAGGGATTTCATGGGATGTAGGATGACCATATATCGATCTATCGTCATGGCGGTAATCGTCGAACACGACGCTTGCACCGATACCTGGATCAAACGAGAAAACAAAACACGTTAATTACAATTTGGAACAAAAATCTTGTATTTTGACAGAGCAAACAGGGGCGCCAAAAGAGGGCGCTACGTAGAAAGCCGATGCCCATGGAGGTACTAGGTCCAAACCGCGTATTTCTTTTGTGCAGCATTCATCGTATTTTAACCAATCACATCACACATCCTAACATGAATATTTATCACGCTATGTGGATGGAAGACACGTAGGTGTTTGTAGTGTTTTTTTCTTCAATTAAACTTATCCCAACCAACAAAAACGTTTGCTGAAAATGGACATGGGTTCGAACCACAGATCTTGCGATCCATAGTTCCTTTCACTATCCTCTAGGCCAGTCTGGCAGCTCGACGAAAGCTGTTCTTTGAAATGCTTTAATGTACATGCATGACTGAGTAATAGCAATGGTGTGACGTCATTGTTATTTTCTTATGAATAAACTTGGAATTAGCTGAATAATCATGATTCATTGACGATGTGTGCTGCAAATAAAAACACTGCGTTCAGGCCAGTAAATAGGCCGGAAAATTGCCTACGCCGGCCAAATCACGATTTGCACGCCCTCAGACTCTTCGGTATTAGAGCATTTTGTGAGTCGTGAACTTAAGGGTTTGCAAAAAAGAAGGGTGGAAGCCATGCACAGGACCGTGAACTTGAATTCATGTGAATTTTTGATGAAATTGGGCCCTTAAACCGCTCTATTTTGCAATGGAGCGTAGGCATCGTTTTTCAAAATGACGATGGGCCTCAAGGTCTTCGGATGGAAATTTCTCCCAAAAGTCATAGAATGACCCCCCCACAAATTGAACAGAAAATGAAAGATGATGAAATAAGCTTTAATTTGATGCGTGTCTCAATACCTCAGAGGGTTTTGAGTATTTTAAATAATTTTGGGAATTGCGAGAACTATTGCAGTCTATTTACTGGTCTGGACCCTTTAGCTAATAGCTTGATAACACAAAAAGATATTTGCCTTGCTCGGAGAGGGCGCTATGGTAAGTTTACATACGATTGACTCCGAATCATCTGTTGCTATGGTTAAGGATTTTTGCAAGTGACACGCTTATGTAAGTCACAGCCAAAACGCCAGTTGATCTATTAGTATTATGCCATTACCCAGGAGTTGTCCATACGAGGCATGCACTTAGGAATTAAAATTGGTGGGTGGTTTGAAAGTTCAGTGCCATTTCTGAAGACATGCATATGAAAACCAATGTAAAATCGGTATTTCGCTGTACAGTATATTTTGTATTTTGGTTGGTGATATTTACAGGTAACTTTTTTGTGTGTGCTTTAGATGTCACCCAAAACAACACTTTGTATTTTGAACTTGTTCCACTAGCACATGTCCAGGTCACGACCTCTGAAGAGGTGGAGCCATGCTAGCGTGCAGGTGGTCGTCGCTCGCTGAACGCTCCTTCAACCAATAAGATTACAAGAATGCGCGCGCGTCTCGACCTAAGAATGCGGCAGGTGCGCGCGATCGCAAGCGTAGCCCCACAAAGCCTTCCCTTTTTGTTCACCGGTGTGCAATGTATACCGAAACGTGCACTGAATACACATGCAACGTTACGAATTACAAAGTTGTGGTTTGTATTTTACATTGAAGGAAAACAGGCTTGAGTGCAGACATTGCGGATTAGTATTCCGCCCGTGTGGCTACTAAAGAAGTTACTACGAGTCTTGTTTTACGGACCGTTTTCAGTGTGGCGTACTCACCGTGCCCTGAGCGTTCGTCGGTCCGTGACCTACGCGCCTCCCCCGGGCGGGACACCGGTACACTGACACGGTAAGCAGAGCCGGCCGTGTTCCAAGCTAAATTAATGGAAATTCGTGTTCGTATAATGGATAGGCTCGGGGCGGTCAGTTCATGGGCCAAGGGGAGGGCAGGCAATTATTGATAGGGAAAGGTGTGAAGCCACAATAGTTGGGGAAGGCTAAAGTGCTCCTGGGTGACTTAAGATGAAATCATTTTGAGCTTTGTTTTTGTGACAGTTTTGTGTACATGTCACTTCAAATGATTAAAGGGGTAGTTTTGTAACTTTCTAAAAACAGCGCCCTCTAGGCACGCCTGGGTCTTTCACTTTTTCTCAATAGAACACTCAATATACACCACCTAGAAGTTTTCAATACATTTCCATTTTCAACGCCATAGTGACAATTTCAGAAACGTATAAGACTTTATAAAACAAACTGTGTATGATCGCTAGTTGGTCGAAGGTTGCTCATGCATGTTGATGAGGATAATTATTTCATAGAGGGCGCTGTCCTTTTTTTTAGAGCACACATTTGCAATACCATTTGTTGATGATACCTTAGATGCACCGTTTCCTAGTCTATAGGACTTAATCATGAAGTGGAAATACTTTCTTTGAGGTAGAAATCAAAGCTCTCGGTGGAATTTATTATTTTTTGAGACATTGTCATTCACAAGAGGTGAAAGGAGCTAGTTTGATGTCATGCATATTAAACATCACCTGCCAAACAGTTGAGGTTGGTAAAATAATGTATTCGGGTCGCACTTTTTTTCAGTTGACAAAGCTGCCGGCCTAAAAAACATCGGATGCGATGAATTTTCATGATGCAGCGATCACTATGGGGGAAAAACAAAGATTATTCGCAATTTGAATGCTTGGGCTGCGGCCGGGGATCGGATCAAGTTATACAAGTCCAGAATTGTTTTTCGGATCACAGGTGGAAAAAAAGAACTACAAATGCGGATGAGTCGGCCATTGAGGATTCCCAGATGATATCCGACGAGTTTCGTTTCATGGAGTCGGATGATTCGATTGTAAGAAAGGGAAAAAATGACAATGGGCTGGTCCCCGCGGTACGCTGTTTTTCACAACCTGCCTTGGGGTATTATAGGGGACCAACGAGGCGAGTCATCATATAATCCAGTTTCCTTTCTACTTGGTATGCACACTGATACATTACACCTTATTGGCGCCGTCACTATTGGCCTTGTGATTCGACCAATGAAAAGAGCACATTTTGTGACCTGTTGGATAAAAAAAAACCGATTCTGAAACGTGTTTTAAATCAGGATCATCAATTTGAAGCATTTGAGGGTATTCGGGCATTTTATTATCGCAAGCAGAGAGGAATTTGCTCCAAAAACAAATGGGACAAAAATTCAGCGGATCGTGCATCCAGTTGTCCCATAGTTTGTCAACCAGACGACTTTTTGCGTAACATCGGGCTTCCTTTGCGTTTACAAAACCCGGATTCAGACTGTTTAAAAGCGGTTCATGCTTAAAACAAATTGGAAATAGTCTAGTCTTTTGATCATTATAACATGACGCATAACATGGACCAACTTTGAGCAGGATCACCCAAAGCTCAGTCAAAAAAAAAAATCTGGTCAAATTTTTCAAACTCTCTGCAGGTTTTTTTTTCTAAACCCCGGCCTTGTCTCAATTTTGACTTTATTTGTTACGAATTATTTAGAAGCCCTTTTATGTCCGAATCATATGAAAATACTCTCGTTTTGGCCTCTGATAAATTTGGCATCCGACACAGAAACATACACCCATCAATTGAGCCGGATTTTCCAAAGTAAGAGGCTGAAATCTCTAAAGGCTAAATCTGTGTCGAGGTCAACGGTTTAAACAACAACTCCGCATATTTCGAGTAGGCTCATGCTGTATTGCACCTCAAGTTGGCCAAATCTAGTCTCGATTCCGAACTCGAGACGACACTTCAAATGACAACGAGCGGCTCAAGATATCAGCGTGCGAGTCAAGAAGACTTTCAAGGGACGAGAGCCGGCAGACAGCCGTCCTTAAAGGGATTTACGGCCTTGAATGCGCCCAATTTAGGTACAAAACGCGTTCAAACGAAATGATATTAAATAGAAAGAGTATATAAAAGTAGTATATAAACATCCACAAAACCATCCTTTAAAAACTGGGCGTGTTTGTGTTAGTCTTGCGAGAATCATGCAAAAACGAATTTCGGGGGTCACAATTTTGTCCCCGAAAAAAAACGAGCTGTTCAGCGCTTGTTGGGATCCAGCCGCACAGTGATCATTGCACACTGCGGACGCGTACGAAACAATATTTGTGTATTTGTAATGTGTGTGTACGTACCACACACTCAACGGGTACGCTGCATTTATTATACACGACTTGAATTACGTATGGGTATGCCACAAAATGTCCGTCGCGTCCGAAGAAAACAACCGTTTTTCCCCGTCTTTTCTCGGGAACAGTAAGACATTAGAACTTTGTTTCCTTTCAACCAGACCTTTGAAATAGTATAATTAAACAATTCAGAACATGAAATTTCGGGGATTTCAGACGTAATTCCCTTTAATGTGAGATATCTCAGCTATTCCTCGCACTTGACTCGCCACACTGAATCTGTTGTTTGGATCCACGCGTTGCAGTGTGTGGGCCACGCTTCAAGGGGTAAGGAGGGGTCACGAAGGTAACTCTGTTGTACGAAATTTGACGTTTAAATGATTAATCTGGCTAAACCATTTAATGTCATCATTCACCTATATACACTGTTTTTCTTCGAAAGGCCGGTGCAGCAAATTATTTTTCAAGTTTCTTCCCTCGTGCTGCCTAACCACTTTGGAACTCACTGCCAGAATCCTGGTTCCCCCTTCTATATAATTTATCTAAGTTTAAACGCAATGTCAACAGACACCTCTCTCTTTACTTGCCTGATTACTTTGTTCTGCTCTGGTAGACGCCATCTCAAACTACATTTGCACATGCATTTGGCATTCTCATCAGAAAAAAGGGGTGCATCTTTTAATTAACAAGAAAACAATTAAACGACCAGTTTTAATTTCAAAGCTTTCAATGTAACCTTCCCCAAGAGAGCATTGCTCCAGACCGCTGGCACGCATCATTTTAACTTGACGTCTCACGCCTTGCTTATACCCCGCCTACACCTCGCTCAGTCTTGTCACGGCCCTTCGGCGCCATACCGTGAACCAGTCTCCGATGTCCAAGAATTCGTGTTTCTAATTTCGTACCGAAACGCACTCATAACTCACTCCATAGCGTAAACCTTATTCAAGCTAGTTTGGAAGATTAATCTTTATTATCTCCAATTGAACAGTGTCCAGCCAAGTTGGCAGTGACACAAACACAAACACAACTGTGCAAATCAAACAAGCCGCAAACAGAGCAAACTGAAATCACTCATCGGAAGTCTTTTCATCATGTTGTTTCAATTGCATTAATATTTAGTCGGGCGCATGCGCACCGTTACGTATTACCAAAATGGTCTCTGCCGCCACCAAACGTCCAAAGTCTCAAGTTGTAGATGTTCTTTTGCTGGTTAATTTCTTACCTGACAAGATATTTTATATTTTGTGTGTGTGTCATTTCGTTGTTTTTCATATATATATATATAGTTTGCAAAGTTAACGTTTACATGACGAATATTTGAATGACGAATGCCGATGGCTTCTGCATGGTTAGACAGACGAAACGATCAAAGTGTAACATTTCTATCTACGAAGAAAACTCACGCGGGACTCGACTCATACTATTTCTTTAGCGGAACATGCACATTAAAATTACATCGATCTTATATGAGTTGGGCTGCAACTAAATATGTCATTCCTGTATATTGTACTAACTTTGCTGGTTGTGTCAATTGCAGCCACCAGTTTTTTCAGTGTGGGGGGGGGGCTGGAACATTTCATGGGGGGCGTCATGTAGATCAATGATAATTTTGTTAGAAACTCAAAATCTCAGTGGGGGGGGGCGACTGGGGGGGGGGGCGACAAGGTTTCATGGGGGGGGGGCTGTCGCCCCCCCACGCCCCCCTCCCCGTGGCTACGCCACTGGCAGCCACATTTCTAAAATTATGAAGAAAACAAATCTCCTAGTCCCACGCGTACCGTGTTTTGTCATTGGGAAAGAATGTCGAAAACTTTCGATACCGGATGATCATGCGACTTTTTAGTTATAATTTAAAAATGACAAATTGAAATAAAAATGAAAGCTTATTCCAAGATGGTAAAGTTGTTTTGTCTTTTGGGGATTGCTATGTCTTTCTGAAGAAAAAAAATGTTACCTAGATGACTGTATTCCATCCTTCAAGGAAAATCGAGCAATATAAATGTATTATATATATGTGATGGAAATAGATTTATGGCTTAGGGATATTCAGGCATTATCGTTGCGTTGTTTGCAACTACATTTTTACATGAGTACACTGCACCTTCAAACTCACAGTAAAATAAAAATCTAAAAGAAAGTGTCTCGAAGCGAAGATGGAATTTGCACGAACATTGCCGACGGCTTCAAAGCCCGATTAAGCGAATGATGGCCGGCTGCGGGGGAGCGTGTGTTCTCCAGGATCTATCAATGACAGACAGTATACCGCGTCTTGAAACAAGGCTACTCATCTAAATGCAAACTGTTGCCTTGGGCAACAATTAATGGACAAGCAATCGAGTGTGGCCTTCCCTCGTGGAGCATCCACCGGCACTTGAACTACAAACCAACACACATAAACACATCGCCGTTGAGACTTCACCCTCCCTAGCCCTTTTCACCCAGCCAGGTTTTTTTTTTACCTTAATATCCCTCTCTAGAAATTAATTCTCACTTTTCCGCGAGAAAAATGATCGCGGTAACACAGTGCATGCTGCACTCTTGTAGTGGGACAGGAAAAGCTCAATATTTTTGTGAGTGGGCGCGCGACTTTGCGGTGTACCGTTGCAGCGTTTAGCGAGCGTGATACGCGCTATTGCATTACGCAGAGGTAGGACTCTGGCAAGCGGAGACAACGGATCGATAGCGTGACCCGAGACAGACGCCAAACAGCCCGTAGGAAACCCGGGCCTGTTCCCGCTTCTTCCATGCATCCACGGACCTCCGTCACTGCTCTTCTAACCCAATTCCTGCCTTCCGGAGCGCTCCGTTATTATCGTCATTGATTCCTCTCTAGTTACCTGCAGCGGGCCTATCGGTATGTCTCATACCGAGGCCTGGGCTGAAGCCAGTTGACCCACTTCGGGTGTGTCTAAACAACTCACCCGCTCCACTTCACAAACAAACAAATTCAATCACCTTGGACTTGTTAGGGTTTCTGTATCCTATTTAAAAATAAAACCCAATAAAAAACACTGCGCGTAAACAGTCTGGCGAGTGTTTACCCTAGGGCGCCCTCTGTTAACTAAATCAGACAGTCGAGTTCTCAATGCGTTGCCATAAATGTGGACATTGCCATCTGCAATGTTGAGTACTACGTATTCTGAGAAATAACGTCCGAATCTACAATCTCGTTTCTTGAGATCAAAATAAACGAGCACTTATGACCAATTAAAAAGTAAATTCACTTTTTTTTTACACAAAATGTTATTAGTATCACCCACAGATTACACACTATACGCAGTGCAATAACAACCCCTACAAAAGGAAACAAAATAACATCATTAAACGAATGGTTAGTTTAATGAGGTTGAAAATGGTTGTGAATTAGTTTCGTGTCAAGTCGTGACGAGTTCTTGTTTCCCTTGAGTTGCCGTTCTGTTGATTTGCTCGCCATCAAAGTGCCCGGGTCCCACCGGAGAGTCCATTCCGCTTCTAAATCAAACACCGAAGAAGTTAATGGATGATTCAGTCGAACACATCCTTATCATCAAGACGCAAAACCAAACGGCGGCCATGACGCTCGGAGACAAACTAAGGAAGTAACGTCTCCTTTTCAACAGGGTGCGGAGTTCAACATTCTGTCCGGCTCGCTGCTGCTTTTTTTTTTTTGGCCCAATAGCATCACTAATCAAATCACCGCGACGTTGATTCAATATAATTAGACCAAATAAATACATATTATCCGCACCGAATGGAAGCTTTGTATCACTCCCGTTCCGGTAATATAATATCCTTCTAAATGGCCGCTTAAGCTGCACATAATTGGAGAATTTATCCCAAAATCAAAACCCAATTGCGAGCGAGGCGGACGACGCCATTTACAGCCGTTTAAGGTTCTATTTATTTTGATTTTCTTAAATCCGCTATTTTCCACTGTCCTAAACGATATTCATATTTATAGCTGCTTTTAACGGTGGAGCATCTTCTTTGCCTGAGAATCAAATCTGTCAGCTCGCTTAATCTCCAATCTTCTAATTGACCCGCTGCGAGAGGGAGCCAGCCTCTCGCCTTCCTTATTTTCCCGGTTTCAATTGCTTTGGAATTAGGGCAGGGGGTGGGCCGGCGCTCCGAATCACAAGTGAAACAAGAAACAACTTGTGACATTTGACTCCAGTCGCTCGTCCGCGGACTTGGCGTGGTTCAGCGTGTCCAGCCATACCCTGGCGACGGGATGAATCGACTCAGGTGTCCCACGAGTGGCTGTAAATCCGTCCCGCTGCGACTTCCGTCGTAATTGAATGAGAGACACTCCGGGCACTTGAAATTGTAACTTATTTTTTTTCCTCTTTTCTTTTCCCTCCAACCCTCAGAACAAAACCAGCTGCCCTCAACGCGATTGCGACAGTCCCTTCCACTTACGGCTATGTGAGGGAAGATGGGACTTGACTGAAAATACCGATCCAAGCTTTTGGCGGAATGCTTAACTGTTTTGTGACGATAATCAGCTACTACTTGTTGTTCTACATCACCTAGTGCTTATACCAAAAGTACCTTCATAAGAAGCCTATACGAGGTAAGACTCACTTCTTTGTTTTAAAATAGTTGTAATAATTTCAAGCAGAAAACACAGTAAGCTAGAGCATTTTCATCCAGTTGCTTAGCTAGAAAATATCCAAACGTCTATTGTGACCATCAGAGAAGGAATGATTGAAACTGAAGTTAATTTTTGTTGCTATTGCTGGAACGTGTTGATGATAACGGAGTACAGCTGGTAATTTATATCTCACTTGAGTAATTTGTGTCAACTGCATGGGTGTTCTATTAGGTTAATTGAACTTCACATTTTAGTAAATTAACCAAATTTATTTTATGGTGAAGAAAAGGTGTGATTAAAGCAGTTGTCATGGAAACCATGCTTTCCTACGTTCAAAGTCCAGATGTAATGTCGATGACTGTATCAATTAGAAAAAAAACCCTTGGAAACAGCTTGCATTCTGAAAGCGGCAACACACAAGATGTATGGAACTAAACACGGTGGACAACAAATGGCAATTTTTTTTAATATATAAACCAATGTTCCAAGGGGACAAAACTACTCCAATTTTTTTTATCCTTAACTCAATTCAAAATGTTATACGATGAGAGACTCACGATTCTCGTTATGGAAACGTTTCCTGAAAGCCCCAAATAATGATAGCGGTACATTTTGTTTTAGTTTACACAGAGCAGTGGCGGCATTTTGATCACATTATTGTGCCGGCCTTGCGACCGGAGGGAGTCGATTTTCGTCAATTTGCTCACTTAGACTTTGCCCGTGCTGATTGTCATGGTTTTTTGGGGGTGGTTCTTCTTTCACCAGGATATCATCTTGTATTGATGGTTTGTCTTTGTAGCAATCTGTACTCCCCGGAGAGCTCTAGCGATGTAATCGGCGTCAGTACTACGTCCCGGGGGTTTGTAGTTATCAGACATGCTACCAGGAACAGAAGTTATACCAAGAACAAGCACACATTCTAAAGGATACCACCGTCGGGTATAACAGGTAAGTCGTGTCGTGGTTTTCACGCCCCCTTCCGATCAATATACAACGTACAACTTTTATGTGCAAAGTTTTTTTATTCATGTGTGAATAGTCGATGAAGATGTAGGCTAGTACTGCACACATCATTACGCCAGAAAAGATCCCAACAAATTCTGCAGTCACTTAATACGTTCCGCTACATTAAAGAAGAGCATTCCGTAGAGAAAAAGTTGTCAACTAACGTCACGTTGTGTTTAGATTTGGCTGTGTGCAATTGCAAATCAGGCATATAAACTACAAATGTATAACGCCTTTTGCGGACGTGTAAGAAATCACATTTTGTGCATTGGTGATTGGTCACCGCTGTTCGCCAGCACGGTGCTGTATTGACACACACACAACGTGTATATCGTAGGGGCTACATTGACTGAAAACGACAGGAAAAACGTATTCGTACTCCGTCGTGTCCGATGTAAGGAACCGTTTTTTTTGTTTGGTCTTTTCTCCGGAACAGTAAGACATTAGGTTGGTTTCCTTTCAACCAGATGTTTGAAATAGGATAAGTAAGCAACCCAAAACATGAAATTCGTGGGGATTTTTGGATCTAGTGCCCCTTTAAGGCGCAGTTAGAGGGCAATGGGTTTGTATTGCATGTATAGGCGTCCTCAGTAAACCGTTTGTGCATTCATTGTGACTAGATTGAAATAACGAAGAACAGAGTCTGAGATTCCTGCAACGCATAAAGTCCTATCAGTAAAAGTTTTGCAGGAATAGCCAACAGGTGAACAAAATGTAAGCCGATCGGAACTAACCCCCCAAGGATTTGAATATCCTAAAGGCTTGCATTATTTTGATCTTTTATAATCCACCTGCCTCCGTCCTAGCAGGTGCGATTTCAGCTGCGACATCACAAACCAGACGACAGGCACATCCGGCTTAATATTTACAACATTATCTCCGGGCGCGTTTTACTAAAAAGCTCCAAACCTAACCCTAAATGACCACTGGCTAGTATTATTCTTTCTTTTTTTTATCTTAAATTTAATCCCCTACCGACCCCGTTTCAGTGAGCCCTATACAAAGTTCCTTCGCACTTATCTCCGAAAGAAAAAAAAACTAGGTATTTTTTTCCCCCTAAAATTCTTTACATTTCATTTGCCTTACGTTTCTTAAGTGTTTTGTTAGGCCCCTAATGGTTTGTATTGCCTCTCAAGGATATCTTCTTTCAATCAATAGGGTGGTTGAAACAATGCGTACATCGTGAAATATAGGGATTTGGGGAAAGAAATTTTAAGAAGAAGACGACAACCCGTGCAATGCTGTTTGTTCATTAAGCTGTCAAATCCCATAAAGATGTATAACGCTTTTTCTCAATTGTAAATCGCTCAGGGTGATTTCTTAAATAAAATCTGTAGTGATGTACGATATATTAAACTGTTGATAAGGGGTGTCCAAAAATTCCATTGATAGATTTTTACCTTTGTGCATTTGTTTTCATGTTAAAGGAGTTGTAGAGTTTTACCTCGAAAAATATATTTTTTAGCTGCTCCCAATTTCAATTGGGAACAGCTTTCGTTTTCGTTAACGTTTTTGTTCCTTTTATTTTTTTATCTCAAACTTGGTAGGTATGTAGACAGGGAGGTGTTATAGATGTAAATTGATATGTAAAGCTCATGTGACCTTAACTTCCGGTGTCACCGGAAGTGAACATTTTAGACCTAATTATCATATGTCGAGAATTATCAATCTGATTGGATTGATACTCAATCATAGTCTGAGGCAACATTCAAAGATTAATACATTGCAATATTATTACTGTGCAGCTTATTCTCATGTTATGATGTTATGATTATTTAATGAGGATATTTTGTGGCCACCACACCTCAACAATACGATAAGTTAGGATTCCATTTTTTTGCACATTTCCTCATATTGGTCTGAAATGCACCTCTCGGAATGTCAAGGTAATGTGACCCTTACTTCCGGTTTTACCGGAAGTGCAATTATTACACATTATATTTTACATTTTAATAGTTTTAATTTAAAAAAAAAATCATTAAATCATGTTGTACTGTCCAATAGACATTCAAAATTTGGGAACAGCTCTGTGGTTGTTCACAACCACAATCTCTAGTTACCCAATTGTTATTTTCTTACTTATATAACAGTGATTCACTTTTGAATGAGACATCGAGCGAAAAACAATCCGACTACGTTAAGTTATTGAAAATTTTCTTTTCAACAAAATTCGAGTTATTGCCTGCTCCTTTGTTCTCAAAATGAAAGTCTTTTTTTCACACAGGGTTGCTAATGCCAAAATAAAGTAGATTTTTTTCGTTAACAAAACAAGTTTGCGCGCCTGATGAAGAAATTTGATCAATTGCGTTCGTGGCCAAATCTCTTGACAAAAATATAAAGTCACGTTTCTACACTGAAAAAAATAGCAATGACAAAGGGGCCAAACAGGAAAACCTGTATTGGTTGACACGTAACTAAGTTTGAATTTGGATCTGCAGGATACACAGTGCATGTTGTACTTTTAGTATTGAAAACTCGTGAAGAAACAAAAATCCATTTTTACGAGCACTGGGTATGCAACTGTAATCTCACCGAAAGGTGTCCTTCGCAACGGTACCACATAATTTTGGAAGTTGACCCTGTTTAAAACAGTGGTATTTTATGATATCTTCGATATCAAGAAATAGCCATATCAAAATTACCCTTGGAGGGACAATGGAATATAAAAAAATGTGAATGGAATACTAAATTAGTACATCAATGACAATTACAAATCAAAATGAAAGAATAGATATAATATCCCAAACAAGTGAAACGTGAGAATAATGGAGTACCATGTTGCTCAGTTATGAAAAATATCAATTATTAGTTGAAAGAGAAACTACCATGCGCTTGTAGTAAAGAAATATTCAGCCAACAGTAAGACATTGAATATTCTTCTTCTTCTATTTTTGACAATTTGGATAGAAATGACACGCCTTAAAAAAAAAGGAAGCAAGGAAATGCCGTCGGACCACAGAGCATGGATCTATGTGTTAATCTCATAAGATTATTGTCAGTTAGATCAGAATCTCTCTGGGTTATATCACTCGTCATTTCTAACAACCTGATGCCATCTTGACAGCTTACCTAAGTAATCACCTCTCAAATATCAAGCTGTGGACACTTTTTTTTTTTAACATGTAATAGACCTTTTTGCTGGTATGCCGCGCAGAGTGCTCTTTTTATTTTTTTTTTATTCATGTAGCGATAAATGCACAAAATGTTTACTCACGCCTATCCAAGTCATACGCAACCATTGCCACTGATCCGCCTTAACGCATGAGGTGTATACTGGAATTCGCCGAACAAAATTAGAAGCCATTCTTGCCGTGTTGCCACGCCCACCCGCATACCGCCCGCGTCTTACAGACAGGGCGCGCGCGCATCTAGGTATCACCCTATTAGTCGAAGGATCCCGGAGTGCGTGCGTAACTACTACCTGAGCGCGACTCACTCGAGCCTGGTGCCACCGCTGAAAATGGCTGTCGCCGAATTAGTATGCAGGCGCAATGTTATCAGGTGTTAGGCGCAGGATTCTGAACAACTTCCCCGGAATCTTCCCGCAATAAAACGGGACATTTGCGGAGAAACTTGTCCCCGTGTTGTCTCGGATAGTTAATGAGACTTTCTTTTATAACTCAAAGATATATGCAATTGGCCAAAAGTTGAGTATCGCATTTTGCATTTTTTGTCATGTATTTTAGGTTGTTGGATGTCTCTGTATCAACGGTATGGAGGGGTAATGTTTCGCTTGTCAAGCGGCAAAATGTCTGTAAATATCAGAATAGTAATTCTGTAACAATTTATGGTGTGTGTTACTGTACCGACCATTGAATTGGGGAAACTATCGGACGTCGTTTTCAATTAAGATATTGTAGTTTGTACATTATACGTGACAATGAACAGAGCCCTTCTGATTGACGTCAACAGAGGGCGCACTGTAACAGCACCATTTGCATCTTGGGCCCTGTCTAAATCCAGAGCTAATTATGCGGGAACATGCTGACAATAGACGAGCTCTAAAAACCCGTTACGGATACGACCGTACCTAAAAAAGAGACTAACGTCAATCTACATTGGTAATACAAAATGTGAGGGTTCATCCAAAGCAAAACTGGACTAAGGCCTTATCCGTGAATTAAGTCTACCAAGAATCCTGATCTTTCCACTAACGGACGCTTTTAGACGGAGATTGCAGTGGTCTTCGGGGACCGGGACTAACGTCACATCCGACCGGTGAGCCAAGCATGAAAGCCGACCCGTGCAATAACGAGTATCGGCTGGGGGATTTATATCCTGTCGTTCCGTTCTCGGCCTTCTGCGAGGGAGGCGGGGTATTTCAGATGACTTCAGTGGCCACTTCGGGGTCTCTATTAAGACAGGCGCGCTGCCTCCGTAAATCCAGCGAGATGCCATTTTGATTGGTTTAAGGCGGTCGTTAAGTGGGCGGGAAAAGGACCCTTGATGGGCCATTAACATGTCGGGTGGGGAACAACTGGGGCAATAAACTGACGCACTCGTGACACTCAGAACTTGAGTGAGTCAGAAGAAACACACTAACTTCCCTGTTATCTATATCCACAACATCAGGCAAATCAGGTTATCGTTGCTGCCAACTCAAAAACACTCGAGACTCCCAAGGATCTTCCCGAAAAATACGATTTTTCAAAACACATATAAGGGTAGATCCGATTGTCATTAAACTTGGTGGGTACGTAGATACTGTTACTAATATGCAAAATCCGAAATGACGTCATGATGACGTCATCACTTGATTTTTGACATTAAATGCGATTAGATTGAATCTAAACTAGGCACAGGCAAATCCTGCAAAGTTAAGTTGGCGCTAGACAAGTGATGTCATGATGACGTCATCAATGGTCTTGTGACGTCATTTTAAAGGTGTATATTTTAAGATTTGACATCTGAAGAGCTATAAGTCCGATTGGGTTGGAACTCGG